AATGAGAATTCGTGACAGCAAAGATGAACTTTGTGCCTGTTGTGAAAGCCCTTACAGCTGGATGAACTTTTGCTGGCTCTTGGAGATCGGTGATGCGAGCTATAGTGGAGAATTTGTTTCAAAAACAATGAACTATTTAAAAAGGTTTTATTTTAATCTAAACTTTCAGCTCTAAGCGCTTTTGCATGATTTTTATGTTCTTGACTCAAACGAACCTTTATGCAAAACTTGAACATTCGCATACAAAAGGGAAATCAAAGCAACAAAGTAAACGAGTTGCCGCATACCCTAAAATCGAAAAAAAAAACAAATAAGATTCTGAAGTTTGTAAAATAAATTCGGAAAATTGAAGTCGAAAGTACAGATTGGAAGGGAAATCTCAGCAAAAATAATCTCTCGGAATTCCCCAAGTCGGAATTCTCGAGTCAAATTGATAATTCGGCGTTGGCGTGGCCGCTTATCGACTTTATCCCTTTTAAGGGTTGCGTGGATTGCGTAGAAATCAATTTAGGGCTTATTTTAGACTTCAAAAGGAGTAATTTGCAAAATTAGTTCAAAAAGTCGATAAGCGTGAATGACATTCAAAAAGTCATTCAAGTCATTCAAGCTATTCTGTGTTAGGACTAGTTATTGAATTTTTTGAAAGAAACTAGAGTGAAGAAGAGATTTAGATTGTCGTTTTGATACTCCAAATCGTTTTGCATAAGCCAAATAAAGGTTCTAAGCAATTCAAAAAGCTAAAATACAAGTAAAAATCGTGAATTAATTCAATTCGAGTTTCTCGACGCCTATTTTTTTCATTTTCATTTATTTTCATTCTGTGATTTGGCTCGTAAAAGGTGTGGAAAGATAAAGATTGCAGCTACGCCCTCTAAAAATTGAAAAGGAATTAAAAAATTGAAAAGGAAAGGAGAATTGAAAGCTTTCTTTCATCAGCTTATAGATTTTTGAAAGTTCAGCGAGATTTGGGATGTGATGAATGTGAAAAGAATGACTGTTTGTTTTCTTTTGTCAAATCAAAAACATTTATCAACTCCATTGTTTCTTGTAAGTCTCAAAATAAAGCTCTTTTTCCTCTTGTTTCGTCATTCTCAATTCTTCCATTGCCAAATGTTTCGCTTCTGCGTGAATCTTCGCGAGTTTGTGTGAGACTTTAACGAAATTCGGGAAATTCATCGCCAACCTCGTGCGCAACGATTTGTGATAGAACAAAAGTAATAGCATTGAGATCAGAGTCTAAAATTTGGCCTTTAAAATCTTTAGTTTACTTGACCCTTTATTTGTTTTTTGACTAGACTTTTGTCTAGACCGTTCTAGTGTCTAGATTTTGTGTTTTTCTAAGGGTCTAGATCTTGGTCTAGATCTAAGCATCTAGATTTTGATGAACTTGGCTTAAGTCTTGTCTTTGACGTCATAGATTTCTCATTAAAAAGCTCAGAATATCTCAGAATCAGATTCCCTCAATCAGATCAGATTTTCGTTTTCAAAAATCGAATTTAGAAAACGAAAAATGCGGTCACCGGAATTGAACCCTCAACCTTCCGAGTCTCGGGCCTACACTCTACCACTGAGTCACAGGTACTTGTTGGACCAGGCGAGAAAAAAGGGTCAAAGACTTTAAGACCATCTAGAATCACTTATTTCCTTCACCTGACTTGCATTCAACGCATAATATATGGCAATTGTCAACTTTCCATAAACGAGAAACCAATCCGGGAAATTTCTTCGCGTAATCGTCCAAACGCTGATGTAACAAAGGAGAAGTGAAAGTGAAGAGATGCCGATGAATGGAAGGAAGAGTTGAAGAGCTTGAGCTGTTCTGGAAATGAAAAAGTTTTGCAATCATTGCAAAACAACTTCAAATCATTGTAAATGTTCTTCTTGACCTTAAGAATTTGATTACTAGATTTGAATACGATTTTTTATTTACCTAACATTCTCCTCAACTTGAATCCTCCCCGACAGCGTTGTTTTCCCAGTGAATCTCTTCTGAAATGTCGTTTTCTGTTGTCGTCGCGCGATGTAAGGAAGCAACAAGGAAACCTGGAAGATTTCATTTAGGTAACTAATCTAAAGCCTTTAAACTGACCACACTTGAATAAATCACAAATGAACCGAGAATGCTGTAGATGTGAAAGTAATTCAAGTACTGATTCCAGCTCAAGATAGCGATGTAAGCCGTGAAAATTATCTAAAATTTTTTCAAGCATTTGCTAGCTCAAATTTTAGTCTAGGAAAGTAGTCCTTTAAGCATTGCTGCTTTACTGATTACTGTAGTTGTACAAATAGCAACACAAACCATTAAGAAAGCGCTAGCAGCCGGCACGGTCAAACTGATCGCATTCTCCTCATATTTCATCCCAAAACAGGCGGCTATTAGACGCTCCGATGCAAGGATTACCGATACTCCATAGAAAATTGAGCTAGCTGAAATGATAAGTCGACATTTTTCTTATTTCCTTACACAAATCAACAGGTCAACAGGTTGATAGGCTCTTATTTCCTTACACAAATCAGCAGCTCGTTGAAAAGATTTCCCTCATACTGCCCATTTCCATCAATGCAAAGAAATTTGCTGCCAATCGAGCCAAGAAAAAGAGCATGTGACAAGCGGGAAGAAGGATCAGAAGAAAACGGAGATTACGGTGAAGGGTCTAGATTTTGGTGAGCTTGGCTTGAATCTTGTCTTTGACATCATAAATTTCTTTAAACAAATCTATTTTATTAGGTTGGTGAATTGAAAACTGCGGGACTTTGAACTAAAATTTATTCAACATAAAACCATCAATTCATTCGAAATAATCTCCCTTATTATTGACGACTTCTGCCCATTTTACAGGCAATTTGCGAATTCCTCTTTCGTAGTAGAATTTTGATTTGTGTGTGAGACAAGTGTGAGACTCAAAAATGGAGGACTGGAGATGTCAGCTGTCAGCCCAGTTTGAGCACTTTCTTCAAAAGAAACCCACTTTGGTGTCAATAGAAAAGTTGTAGAGAATCAAAAATTAGGCTTATAGCCAAATTTCCAAAAAAGATACACTTAGTAGTTTCGCTTAAAATGCAAGTTTTGTGAAAATTAGTAAATTTGGCATTTCTTGAATACCAGTTTTTGAATCGTTCTGAAAATTTGGATATAAGCTTGATTTTTGATTCTCTACAACTTTTCCATTCACACCAAAATGGGTTTCTTTTAAAGAAAGTGCTTAAACTGTCACATATCACAATATCCGGCCGTTTTCAATTCACCAATCCAATATTTTAACCAAAGTTTGACCAAGTTAACTGTCAACGAACAAATAATAAGAGAAAAATGAATAAAAATCAACCAAATCAGTATAGTAAATCTTTAAACAACAGAAAGAGACAATTCACCAACTCAATAGATTCATTAAATGAAGCTTCTCTTTATGGTTAACTTACCGCTTTCTTCGCCACCACCAGAACATAGATGGTAAACACGTAGAAGTTGGAAGCGATTTCGATAGTCTGATTAAATTCGGAAAGATATAAAAAAGATTGAAGTGTTTTGCTGGACAAAGTAGACTTGTTATTAGCTAGCAATACAATGTGCTGAACACTTGTCAATAAAGTTTCATCAGTTGTTTGTCGCACTGCGCATCAGTTAGCAAATCTACCCAATCCAATCCAAATCCAGAGTCATTTTTCTATTCATTTCCAGCTTTAGGATCTCAAAACTCACCTCGATCCCCATCGCAAGATAGTAGAATATTTGAATAGTTTCACCTGGGGAATCATCTGCATCCGGTACAATCGACATTTCCCTAAGTTTCAACTCGAATCTTGTAAAAGATAATGTGATTCGAAATCTGTAAGCTGTAAGTAAGCTGTAAGCTGTAATCTGTAAGCCTCACCAGATTACAGCTTACAGATTACAATCTATAAGCTGTAATCTGTAAAAGATCTCCGACAAAAATTGCTCAATCGGTGAGAGACGGCTTTTTGTAAACGTTGTCTCAACAAAAAAAAGACAACACGCGAACTTCCGCGAAAAAAACTTGGGAATTATTAGGTAAATCAAAAAAATTGAAAACTTTTTGAAAGAACGTGACGCTTGAATCTTGATTACTGAAGATTTGTAGTATACATTTTTTGAGGAAAAGAAAGAAAAGGAAAGGCAAACAGAAAATTATCGGGCTCTTCAAAGAAATTGTGTATTGCTCTCGAAAAACGCTCCGTTTTGTATCTTTTTAGCTACATGGAGCTTTTAGAGCTTTTGTAACTGATATAAAGATCGTCTAAAAGATTTATAGGATAGTATGGAGACAGGTTGACACGTTTAGAAAATGATTTACTTTGCTGAGGACTCGATAAGGTAGCGCATGCTTGGAGGTAGCGTATGCTTGAAGGTAGTGTATGCTTGAAGGTAGCGTATGCTTGAAGGTAGCGTATGCTCTTTCTCTCTTCTTCTGCCTTTTTTGTCTCGAAGGCCTGAAGCAACTACGGCTCAGTGGTAGAGTATCTGCCTGGGAGCCTGGAGATCGAGAGTTCGATTCCCCTCGACTCTTTGCCAAATTGTTTTGAGAAAGAGGAGAAGGGAACGGAAGCAAAGAAAATCTCTTCAATGATAAAATCTTTGATACAGTTGAACTATTCATTGCTTCTAGCTTTATTTTGTTTAATTTGCTTTGCTTTATTTTATCGTTCTATTTAGAGTTTATTTATAAACTAAAATGATAAATCTTATGCAAGATAAAGTCAATTTTGAACTGGGCATCAAGTTATTGAGATACATTGAAAACATTTGAGATTAAGTGAACCCGATATTGGAAATATTTTGAACAACCATAGATCAGATGGATAACCGTTTTGTCAACCGATAAATGATGGAATCTCGTATTTGGGAATGTAAAGCTTTCTAGAAATATCAAAGTTGAAAGGATAAAAAAAAGAAGTGAAATTGATGATACGATTTGACTTGAAAAGTCAACGTCGCTTTGAATCAGAAAAAACAAATTGAAGAATGGTTTTGAAGATATTCAGTTATCAAGGAATCGAATGGGTGTCTGAATGGAGCGTCGTGGACGATCGATCGGCGATGGACAAGGAGTTGTTGAATTACTGAAATTTGTCTCAATAAGAACTGCATGATCAAGTTTTGGATTTTTTTTGGCATTAAATGCACGGCTTTTAGTAATTTACTCACTTCATCGCTACTCAAGTCTGTTCGAAAGTCAGAAAAGTCAATACCTGTTCAGTTTACCCTTTGCTTGTTTCTTTACCCGCCTCAATTCTTTGATATCGATTTCCATTGCCGCATCAAGTGGATGATTCTCATCGTTTTCTGATGATGTTGATAAAGTTGGAGAGTTAAACTCTTTAGATGGAGAAAGCTCATCTTGAGTGGTAGATTTCTCTTGAGGTGGAGTGATTGATGGGCTCAAAATTGGAGGATTCAACTGAAAATTGGCTTTTGTTTTGGGAAGTCGTTTGTTTCTTTTGAAACCTCTTGATTTTCTCCAGCAGCTTCTTCAGCAAGCTCAACTTGGGGCACATCATCGACTTCGAAAGTCACTTGCTAAACTTTTACGTGATACTGGCTTTAAGCTAACAACTGAATGACCTAACTAGATATCTAATTGAATACCTATTTTGCTTTCTTTCTATAACAAACCTTCGCAAAATAATCGAGAAGCTCGTGTTCAAAATGTCTCTTCAAATGCCCATAGTTTACTTGCCATAACCGATTGTCACTGAAATTTCGAGCAATTCAACACTTTACACTTTCAACTTACCATTTCCTTATCAACCACATTGAATCCTCAGCGAACAAATCTAAAAAAGACTTTCAAATTTGGTCTATGCATATTAACACCTGTGCTTTCCTCCACTGGTCCGAGCACTTCCACATTTGCTTCTTTCTAATAGAATTTGTTAGATAGTTTAATTAGCCATGTTCAAACTTACAATCATTGCTTTCTGTTTTTTGTCAAGCAACGATACCTCGTACCAAGTTGGTCTGAAACGTAAATTTTTCTTATATTGTCAATTCAATTGAGTAGTGTAGAAAAAGAGTTTCTTGTCTCAACCTCCAAGCCACTTTGAGCATCTCAACTCTTTCCGTATACGAGTTTCGCCATCGTCCGTTCACCACTTTCTTCCGGTAAATGCGACGGGTCTCATCGCCCAACGCGACAACGCTGACCACCTGGAAATTTTGTCGCTGCTCTCATGTGTTATCTATACTGTTTAGCTTCCCAGTTCTTGTAGTTTTCCAAACAAAAGCTCATTATTAATAAATCCACAGCTTTGTATCTTTATAATGTTTACCTCATATTCGGAAGCATAGTTGAGTTGTTGCCTCTGACGATTATTGGTCATGTGCTAAATTTTAGGAGTATTAAGTTGTCAAAAATAAATGCAAAAGCAGATAGATCCCTTTTCGGATCAAGAATAACTGCTATTTCAATTAACTGGCTCATATTCGAATCTGTTACAATAATTGCTTTAGCATAGACAGTATCAATCATTTGAAGAGTTAAAAATTCTCTCTGAAAAACTTTTATTTGAGATCAAATAACCGATCGGAGGAGAATACGAACAACGATTTGACAAAATAAAATAAAATGATCAGATACAGTTATGATTTAGACAATCATGTTTGCTAATAGCCAAAATTCACAAAGGATACTCGTTGCGAAAAAGTGATTCCAGTTTTTAATTAAAAAGGTAAATATTTTCAATGGGATACAAGGAACAAAGAATACATTTAATACCATAAAAATAGAACTTGTGCACTTGTTAAGCCGATTTGGCTGCCGCTTCCCGTCCATTGCTTTCATTTCGACGATCATCACCCTCATTCTCTCCATCGTAGAACTCGCCTGAAAAATGAGCTTGTAGATTTTACAATAAAACAAGAGGTGTTACTCTTATAAAAATCACGCGTTGCTTGTATTATTGCAAAGTACTGAAAGCTTATTGATTAAAAGTTCAAACCTTCATGCTGCACATGAGAATCCATAATCGAGCGATGTAGTCGCACATCTGGATTCGCCATATCCTGAACAATAGATAAAAAACTCGTAATTGAAAAAGCTACACACCTGCCCCAAGGATGTATCGTTAAGAAATCGTATGGCATCGTCTGGAATCGGCTGCATTTGCACTGAAGGAGCGGCTTCCATTCGATCAAGATTATTCAGCACTTGCTCCTAAAGAACGGTATATTTGATTCTACTTACAAAAAGCTACCTGCACTTTGCGCAGATATTCCGATGTGTTCTCGTTGTTGCCAGTGCCTGGGTCCAAGTGAAGCTTGTACGTAGGCCCGGAAATACTCGAAGTAGTCGTTGTAAGGCAATACATTTGCCACCTGAAGATAAATAATTAGAAATTCTGAAAAATTAATTAATAAATAAACTAAGAAAACTAACTTCTCTATCGAGAGCAATGGCCGTTTCGTAAGCCCAGCATCTTGCGACATTTCTTGGTGTGTAGCCGCCACCGCCAAGCATCATCAACGGAACATTGTAGTCGCGGAAGAAGCTGGCACAACTAAAACAAAAGATTAGAAATTTAAAAGTAAAACGTACGCTCCATGTCCTTTTAGCGTCAAGTTGAATGGCCCCAAACGATCACCGTGAAGAGAATCCGCTCCACATTGCAGTACAACAGCCGTTGGCTGATATTTCTCCATGACCTAAAATAAAAAGTGTTACGTAAGCTGAAAATAACTAGATTTCAATTTTTTTACCACAAACCTTGGTCATGATTGGCTTGAAGATGCTCTGATAAGCTTCATCGGTGATCCCGTCTTTTAGGGGAACATTCAGCGAGTAATACCTAAGAAAAGATCCATAAAAGTGCAAAATACTTATTTTGATTAACACTTCTAGAAACCTACTTCCCCTTTCCGACTCCGACATCTTTCAATTCTCCTGTACCCGGGAAGAAGTCGCCATATTTGTGAAAAGACACCGTCATAACCCGATCCGTCGTGAAAAATGCTTCCTGAGCCAAAAGTTACAATTTTAAAAAGTAAAATAGACCTCACCTCAACACCATCTCCGTGATGAACATCAATGTCAACATAGAGTACTCGTTTGTGGTACTTCAGCAGCTCCAAAATTCCCAGCACGATGTCGTTTTGTGTAGCAGAAACCGCTAGCCTCGCTCTTTTCGCGTGATGCAGACCGCCCATCCAATTGATTGCGATATCAGCCTAAATCCGTCAATATATTTATCAAAATAGCACATTTTTACATGTCTGATTTTTTCAACTTACCTTTTGTTTGTTTAGTTTTACAGCAGCCGCTAGGGATCCACCCGAAGAAAGTTGACAAAATTCGTAAAGGCCATCAAAGAGGGGACAATCCTCGCCAACATTGAACTAAAGAAAGATACATTGCAACTAATCAAAGCCTATCCGAACTTTTAGCATTTGTTTGTTGTAGAGTTTCAAATTGTCCGGCGATGCTGTCTTTAAGAAATTGATGTAGTCCTCGGGTGAAATTTTGTCATCTCGTCAAAGAAGCGGGAAACGGCCGGTAGACTTCGAGCTCTCTGTACAGTCCGTAATTCATGACCAGGTGGTGGGTCATCCGAATACGATGAGGCTTCATCACGTGTCCCTAAAGTTAAAACGCATACATCAGAGACGGGCAATTTTTCATCTTTGCATATTGTACAAATTCAGTTTTATTGTTTTTTATTTAGTCCAAAAGTCTTACCTGGCCATAATAATAGTTGCCGACATTCGAATCGTAGAAATAGGCAACACGGCGCTTTCCATGCTCCTTCACAGGCATCGCGATTCACTAAGAGTTTAATACAACTTGTCCAAACAAAAAAAAATGAGATCAACGAATCACAATAACAAGAAATAAAACAAAAAAACAATTTAACGCCGAGTTTCATCGTCGCTACTCGATGATGAAGAAGAATCACTGCTGATTTGCCCAATGTTGCTGACGGGTGCCAGCATATTTCTCGTAGGCTGTGGGGAGAAGTGAACGAGACTCGAATATCACTACTTGTGCTCGTTCGTCGACTATCGAATGGTGAAGTGCCAACAGGTCTCGGTGTTGGCATGGCGACCCCATTCCATTTCGTATTGTTCTTGGTGATTCTCCAAACCCAGCCGTTCGTGGACTCCAACTTCGCTGTGTTGTATATCCCGAAGCTAACGGAGAAACGGGCACCGTTCTTTGTCCTGCTCCTCTGCCAGTTGGTGTCGTTTGTGGCCTCATTCCCAAGAGTTGGTCCAACTGGAGGCAATCCGGTAGTTCTCGGCGCTGATAAGTGTCCAATCTTCAACTCGACTTCTGTAGGGAATGGCCTCGATGCGTCGCCCTGCTGCCAATTCAATGGAGAAGCCACCGAGAAACCCTTCGAAATCTGATGGGCCATTTGAATGACTTGTTCGGTGTTCACTGGTTGTTCCTCTGCAGCTTTCATCGTCTTCAACCGCTCATTTGCTTGGAATATCATGTGCATCAATAACGAATCCGCGCACTTCAGATCGGCCTCGACTTTTGAATGATCATGTCCCTGTTCTCCACGCATTTTCTCGAGTTCTTCAATCAAGGCGGCTCGTTTCTGATAGGCACTCACTTTGTCCAGCAATTTCTTGATCTCAGCCTGTTTCGTTTCAAAGAGTTGGGCGAGATGGCTGATCGATTCCTCGTTGTGCGTTTTCTTCTCGTGATCCACAGATATTCGAGCATCTGTTTCGTGATGACATCAAGATCGTCGCTGGCATCCAGCAGGCTCTCTCGTAGCGTCGGCAGCACCATCTAAAAATAATTATTGACGTAAAATAGATAAGAAAACAAAACGAAAAGCGGTACTATTGGAGCTTTGGGGGGGAGGCACTTTTTTTTCGCCAAAACCACTTTTCTCGTGGTAATTGAGTACGCTGAACATGGATATGACATTTTTAGGGTTGCTTTTTAATCAAAAACAAAATTTTTACAATTTTTAAAATTTTGCAAAAATAAGAAATTTTGAGCATGAATCTTGGTGAATCCGGCGAACGGATTGCATACTCAAAATGTGGAATCTCTTTGGTATCGATTTAAAAAATAATTAAGCAATATCATGACCTCAACTGCGAATCAAATGATCAAATTTCCTTCAGGAATTTATGTGGCGGCGAGGATTTAAAAATAATTTTTGGAACCAAGTTTCAAGTCAAGTTTATAAATGCGAGTGGTGATTTTTGGACCAGATTATTAGCTTTTTGTGACGCTTTAATGGAATCTTTTTGCAATTTGCAATTGTTGTTAATTTGTTAGATTTAGATAAAAGTCAAACAAAAAGCGCACAACCACAGCAAAGTGAGTCCGAAAGTCAAAATTGGCATTTAAAATGCTCAAAATTCCTTATTTTTGCAAAATTTTAAAAACTCTAAAAATTGCGTTTTTATTAAAAATCTACCCTAAAAATGTTATATTCGTGTTCAGCATACTCAATTACCCCGGGAAAAGTGGTTTTGGGGAAAAAAAAAAGTGGCCCCCCATAGCCAAAACTACCAAGAAAGCAATAACAAATTTAAAGTTTATGGGTAAAATTTAGTGCTTCAATAGCAGTTCTGGATAGGTAGGTTTAACACTTAGACCCCTTAAAGTTGCATTTGCTGAAAAGACAAGTATGGAAAGTCCATAAATGAGGCAATTCCTCTCAATTTTAAAAGGTTAAACAAAATTTGAAAATATTCAAATAATTAACTGAATAGCATAACTTTTATAAGAGATAAAAAATTGAAACTATATAAAGCAATTTATATTGCTTCAGCAAAGTGGGCAGACCACAGTTGTTTGTTGTCGGGCAAGTGTCCAATTAGAGTACGAAGCAGAGTGTTCTCTGGGATTGTCGCGTAGCCCTTTTTTGACGGGAAGACTCCCCCTCGTTGCTCTATCCCCCACTTTTTTCCCTCTTTGCACATGATTCTTTTCGTTGCTTCGAGAAAATTCGTAGCGTCATTGTTTATGAATTGCACAGTGATTCATTAGAGAATTCATTGTTTTGAGAAACTTATTACACTTGAAGAAGCGATTGGTCATTTGAACGATAATTTCTGCCAACGCTCATGCTGCTAGCTTAAAGGCAATTAACGCTTTTTCCCTTACACATTTGTTTGATTGCTAAGAACCATTAGAACAGTGGCTAAATTCTTTAAATTTTGTTTTCTTTTGCTTCATTGCTTGTGTAGCTTTTCAAATTTTATTACTTTTTATTTCCAGGTACAACATGGCGACATTGATTCCATATCTATCGAAGAGGGGCGTTCGTCATGTTCACTATCTACAATTTCGACCGCCGTGGCCATTTGTGAAGAAAGGATCGTATGGACAACGAAAAATGGGACCAGTGAACGAGGAAAAGAAGAAGTGGCCTGGGCAGGACAAGGAATTTCCCGAACTTTCGCCGAAATTTCAACAAATCAACCCAAAGGAGCTTCACGCGTACACCGGCGTTCAAATGGAGGGCTACATCGATCCGAACACTGACAAATTTGTGAGAATCCCCGAAATGTGTGCCGAGCTGATTGTACCGAATTTGGAAGGATTCAAGCTGAAGCCCTATGTTTCGTACAGGACAGATGTAGAAATCGAGAAGCGAAGGAAAACGTATGAGGCGAAGATCCGAGAGAAAGGTAGTGAGGAGCTCGCTGATTTGCACACATTGGAAACCGAACGGTGGCCGCCACCAAAGATGACCGCGCAAACACTTTTTGATCTCACATATGGAGAGGAAATTCGACAAACTTTCAAGAATAAAACGACAACGAAAAAGAGTTGATCTCAGCTTGTACATTTATTATTCTTTTCTTTAGCTAGTGTATTTAGTTTCATTTTTCTTGTTGAGTCTTACTGTTGATTTTTGATGATATAAATTTTTAGATGGCGGCGCCAGGATCATTAAAGATGAAGATCAATCTTCGAGCATTGGAATCATCGCCGACAAATGCGATTTCAATTTTGGAGGACGATTACAAAGAATCAGGTAACTTTAAACTTTGATTTACCTAGAAATTTCATATGCTTCTGGCTTACAGTTGTTTTTTAGAAGAACCCGATGAACGTGGCAACAATCAGCCAGCGGAGACGAAGATCGAATTGCCGGGCGAGGATCAACCGAGCCCCGATCAGGCCAGCACTTCATACGACAATGAAGCGAAAGGTAACAAGAGTAAGTTAGAAAAAATGCTAGAGAATTTTTTTTTTTTTTTTACTAATTTAGACATCAATATTTCCATTTAAAAATACGGTCAAAAAACTCAGGATGATGCTGATGAATCGAAAGCAGAAGCCGTAAAATCAGCTGACACCGCTGCTCCCCAACTACTGAGTATTTCCTTGAAAACTCATAAAGATAATGCAAGGAAAAGGAAAAGAATTGGGTAAGAAAATAAAAAAGGAAAAATTTAGGCTCAACTTTTTTCGAGGCTAGTTGAAAAGCAAGACTTAAAGAAATTTTGTGATAAGAAAGCTTGATTAAATTTAGACAAAACAGTATAATTTTTAGACGCTAAATCAATTATTGAGAGAATTTCAGTAATCTTGAAGAGATGGAGGCCATGCTGTCCAATGATTTTCGAACAGCACAAGAACGGGAAAAGGAACGTTTGGAGAGACAATCAAAACGACAAAATGAAATGGACTAATCACTCAAATGGCCTTGTTGGTTTCTTCCGAATACTCCCGTTGATTCAAACAATTGTGAGATTGAAATTTTGAGTATTTTAAGAACAATATAGACTTTGAACAGAGTTAGAAACATGATATTTAGGCCGATGAAGACTTTTTCGATGAACCGGAACAGTCCGAAGAGAAGAAGTTAAAAATGGAGCCATCAGAGCATGAGGTAGAGTTATTTAATCTATTATTTACTAATTATTTAAGTATTTAGTTAACGAAAGTTGAAGAAAAGACTATTTAGATTGTCACTTTGAGCAGCGATGATGAGGATGATATAGTGGAATTGGGAGAGAGAATTGCACAACGACCACCAGCAATCGGTCAGGCATACACGAGTTATGGAAGGCCGATCTCATTGAGTGGGTTATTCATTAGATTATCAAAAGAATGTTAACATGGGATAAAGTGATATTATCACATAACAGTCTTTAAGCAGAATTAGCGTAATCTTAGCAATTTGCATACGAACTTGTTAGCACTGTACTTTTTAGTGATAAATACGGACCTCGCGCATTTAAAGCTATTAAGTATGGTTTTAATCTGCGAATTGAACGTGGACAGTCTTTCATGAAGAAATTAAACAAACAACTTTCCACACAAATCACCTGTTTTAGGTAATCGCGGTCGATGGGGCTCTCATCATGAAGAAGTGAGTTTGAAGCTTTTGAGAGAATTTGATACTCGGAAAAATAAAGCAAACCAGTAGATTCGAAACTCTTTTAGGTAGCTCAACAAAATCTTCGACAACAACGAGAATTCGAAAAGAAACGTTTACGCAAACGGAGAAACAGTGGCGATTTGGAGAGCAAAGAGCTAACGGAGGGGAAGCTTTTGACTCAACTCAGGAAGGCCTCATGGTAGGTTAAGAATGGATATTTTTTGAGATATTTCATAAAAGGGAGAAAACGTGGCTTTTTGATATTTGTAAAAATGAATTTCATGGTGAATTCTAGGCGATCCCTTCCGCTCCTATGTAGCTCCTCATCTCACTCACACTCTTCCTTAACCCCATCAACTCGCTGGAATTCGTTTCATGTTTGTTTTGAGAAAAGTTTTGAAAACTTGAAATCTTCCCTCAGCTCTATTTATCTTCATTTACAGGTTTGATAACGTAATCGATTCGGTCTCCGAGTTCAAAAAGTCTGACGGTTTTGGATGTATTCTTGCTCATTCAATGGGATTGGGGAAAACGATTCAAGTAAGCGATAAAAACAAGCATTTACTGTATATTTAGTGTATGCCTTTATAACTATTTTGATTTACAGGTAATCACTTTCTCCGAGCTCTTCTTTCGTGCCACCGAAACACGGAAAATCTTGGTAGTCGTGCCGATAAATACCATTCAAAATTGGTACGCCGAGTATCGGGAAGTGGATGCCAGAGCGAGTTTTTGATCTTTTAAGGCAAAACCTTCAGTAATGTACTTGAATTTACAGTTTACAGTTTACCAACGAGTTACAGATATAATGAGGATGGAGAACCGATCCGAAAATTCCAAGTGTTCCTTCTCGGCGATGCGATCAAAGGAATTGAACAAAGGACAAAATGATAGGTCGGTCGCGTCCAAAAAATTAGAATAATTATCAGTAACTTATAATAATTTAAATAGCTTGAAGATTCAATAAAGAGAACTTTGCTTTTGGAAGATTGGCATCGAGATGGTGGTGTGCTTCTCATCGGATACGAAATGTTCCGACTCATTCTCCTCAATTCGACAAAACCCAAAAAGGAGAAAAAGGTTTGAAATTTAGTTGCTCTTAGAAAGAACTTGTTTGCAGAGCAAAATGAAGTTAAACTCATCGACTTCAAGTCTACAAAGCGTGAAAGAGAGCCAAGATGATGAAACGAAAAGAATTTGGGAGATGATGGGAAAACAATGGCCCACTAAATGAAGGTGAGAAGTTAACTGTGTTTTGTTTATACCACATTATTTGTGTGAATGTATTTTTGTATTTTTTAAAACGGTTACTCTTTCAGCTATCCGAACGGCTCTTCTCGATCCAGGACCCGATCTCGTTGTTTTGCGATGAAGCGACATAAAATCAAAAACCTGAACACGGTCACTGCTTCGGCGTTGAATGAGATCAGGACAAAGTTTTTGCTTCCATTCTCACCTAAAACCAAATTCCAATTCAGACGCTGAATCGTGCTCACTGGGACCCCATTACAAAACAATTTGATCGAGTACTTTGCATGGTGGATTTTGTGAGACCCGCGTATTTGGGCACAAAGAAAAGCTTCATTCAAATGTTTGAGAAACCGATTAAAGTGAGTAAATGATTGTAATTGATAAAGTGACGTAATTTAGAACGGTCAATGCACTGATTCAACTCCAGCCGATCAAAAATTAGCTCGTCAAAGAACTCACGTGCTCACCGAGAGTCTCCGGGGATTTGTGCAGAGGTGAGAGAAGTTGTCAAAGACAAATTTGTAAAAAAAATTGATTTGGGAGAGGAAGATAAAGAGGTTTTTACGCTGAAATTTCAGGAGAACGCACTCATTGCTGAAGGAGATCCTCCCCGAGTGCAGAGAGTACGTGCTGTACTTGCGAAAAAGCCCCATTCAACATGCTCTCTACAAGTGAGTTAGATAAGAATCTTTTGACTATCGAGTAGCTTATTGATTTATAGATTAGTTACATGGAAATTTCCAGAGCTTTCATCCTTTACGCGCAGCAAGAGATCGATACGGGAAACACTGGCACTTTCAATCCGCTGAAAGCTTTTGCCGCCTGTAGCAAGGTTTGTTTTGTGGATTGGCTTACTTTATTGCTTTTGATGTTTGATGATATCAAAATCTAATAATATAATAAAAATTCAGATCTGGAATCACCCGGATGTCCTCTACTCCTGGCTGCAGCGACGAAAAGAACTCGATGCTAAAGTTGAAGCTGATAAAAAGTTGGTCTAACGACTTCAAGTCAAGTGAAAAACTCACTGATTTGTTTCTAAGTTTACCCATAAATTCGCCAAATCTCAGAGCCGAACTCGATGCCATTCAAAAGAAACAACAAAAGTTGATCACTCAATGGATGCATCCACCAAATGATTTCACCAATACACAAACGTTTGGGAATCAATTTGGACAAAGTAAGGATAAATCGGCGAATACGCTCTGGCAATCTATTGCCAGATTGGCAATCGCGAATCTGGCAATCGATTTTTCGTTAATTAATTGAGACAAAAAGCAGCGAATAATTCAGCGGTGCCAAGAGGGATCTTTCCCTTTCTACCTCTTACCTTTCTGATTTTTATTTTTCGTTTACTCAAAACATTTGGTAAAGAAACAGGATCCAAAGGAAATGGAACTCCACACCTTCTGCTTCACGGGCAGAGACTCTACCACTGAGCCACAGGCGCTTGTTATGCAGGTTATATAGGGTAGAAGAAAAGAGGAAATGAAAAGAGTATGCACTGTCTTCAAATTCCAAAAAATGACCGTATTCGCCAAAAACTCTAAACTCAAAGAAAACCCCAAAAAGCTTAATTTTAGAGTTAGCTTTAAGTATTCTGTGTTTAGATTTCAATCCTCAACCCCCTCCTTACGACTTCTCAAATCAATCTGCTTATCCGGGATCTTCATCAAGTTTCATGAACCCAAGCCCACCCACCACAATGCATCAAATGCCCGGTTTCCCGCAACAATCGATGAATGACTTTGGAGGAGGATATCGGCAATTTATGAATATGCCGACAACTACTTGTGAGTGCTAATAAATACTTTTTTGAGCTCGAGCATTGTCGATTTAGCTGGCTACGCCTCACCGATGGCTCCATCGAGTATCACAAGTGTCACCTTCCCGATCTCAATGCCCCAAAGTTCTCCATTTGATTCGATCGGTCCCCCATCAATCCAATCAACCTCTTCCGCAAGCAATTACGGTAAATTTTCAATTAAGCTTAAAATCTAAACCTTTCAGGTTATTCCCAAGAAATTCCACCAAACTCTGTTAACTCTCCGAATGGCTGAACCACAACTTCCAAACATAGACGAGCTTGATCAAATCTGGGCAAATATGGGCACATCAAGGGATGATTTTAATCAAAACTCAGTGTAAGTCAGAAAAATCATGAAATTTTTTCTATTTTGCTAGAAAATTTGATATTAATTCTAATCCATTTAGGCCTCCAATCGAGCAGCAACTCGCCTCAAGTGTGAATCTCTCACCTGGAAATGTGGCTGGACAAATGCCTGCAAAAAGCTTCAGAGGTACCTAAAGCTTTATTTTTAGATTTAAATGCAATTTTTTTAAAATCTAAAACTTTAGAAAAGACTCGAGGTGGTCGAGGTGGTGGAAAGCCGCAACTCTTTTGTCCGCTTTGCAAGAAGAGCTGGATATGGATGTTGGACTGAAATATGATTGGGTACGTAAATCTTTTGACTTGAATGCTTACTTTGTTCCAACGTTACTTTAACAATTCCAGGCAGAGATCGCAATGTCGCGCTATGAGAGAGGGACGTTGGACAATGGCTATAAACTGGTTGTTGCAATGGGATTGATCAATGAGGCGACGAAGAGAGATGAGAAGATCTTGTTGTTTAGGTAATCTTGTTCTTGTTCTTGATCTTTGGAATAGATTTAGCTATTACTAGGTACCTTATACAGCGATTTCCAACAATTTCCTTAAATTCCAGTCAAAACCTCACCACTTTGGATGTTCTCGAGGATTATCTCTCGAAATCGAAGGTGCAGACATCGGATGGATTGAACGATTCGTGGCAAAGAAATGTCAACTATTTTCGTGGGATTTGCATTAACATAAAGCAATCAATATATTCCAGGCTTTGATGGCACAACAGCTGGTGTTGAACGCGAGAAGTTGATCACTAGATTCAACGGCGATCCAGCTATTCGGCTATTCATCATCTCTACGAGAGCTGGCTCTTTGGGAATCAACTTGGTGAGTTAGAAATTAATATAAAACTAAAGAGTATTTCAAAGCCTTCAACGGTACAAGATATTAAGGATTATAGTAAGAATGCTTAAACAATCGCAAAATTATTTAATCCCTAGGTCTCCGCAAATCGGTGTATCATTTTTGATGCTTGCTGGAATCCGTGCCACGACGCGCAAGCTGTTTGCCGGTGAGTTTACATTTTGAGTTCTTCTATAAAGCTTTGGTAACTACCGTAAATACTAGAAGTTCCCTAATAGAAGCATCGCGTAGTGTAAGCTTACTCTCAAACAAACGCTCATATCTCGACATCAGTACGTTTGTTTCTGCGCAAAAATTTCAGTTGAAAAGTCTTTTTATTGAACACCCTATAAACTTTTAAATATATTCTCATATTTGTAATATTTAGTGTCTATCGATACGGTCAAAAGCGTCGCACCTACATCTATCGTCTCGTCATGGACAACAGCATGGAGCGAGCGATCTTCAATCGACAAATCTCGAAAAGTGGACTAGCTCGTGAGTATAATAGGAATGTAGTCAATCCTCAAAAGCTAATGAATCCAATGAAAGTCAAGTTTAAATGTCAACTCTTTCAGAAAGAGTCGTTGATGATGTGCAAGTGGATTCGAATTTGACACAAAAGGAACTCGAGACATTGCTTGTTTATGAGGTTGGTGAAATCGAGAAGTTTTTGGTGAATACGGTTCAGAAAAACGGGTTTTTGATTGTTAACTGAGGAACCATGATGAGAAAGACTTTTTGTATAGGATTTGGAAAAAGCAATTTATGAACTTCTTCTTCCTTTCTTCTTTTTGCTTTTTCATTTTTCTATTTGCTTTTTGCAGCAAAATAATTGGCTTTTTGAATGAAACAAACCGTAGTTACATTGGTGTATTTGTTAGTTTTAAACGAAAGTACGAAAAGGAACGAAAAGTCTTTCTGGACAGAAAGACTAATATTCATTGCTTTTTAGTGTTAAATAAAGCCTTTTAACCCCCAAAAAAATCAAATATAATATCCCAAGTTTAATTCAGGAGGCTTTGGATCTCCATGTCGATCATCAAAATGTTGCCGAATGGGAAATCGAAGATGAGGTGCTGAAAACGGTTGTCGATCAGAACACCATTGCTTTTGCTGGGGTGAGTTGATTCGTAATTTTCGACTTTCGAGGAATTTTGAAGAAGTCTTTTCAATTCGATTATCAAGATCTTTTAGAAACCAATCCTTCACGAGTCGTTGATGTTGGAGAGTGAGGAGAAGTTGAGCGAAGAGGGAGAAACGAGAAGCTCAGCTATTGTTCGAGAAAGAGAAAAATCGGGTCAGTGCACTTAAATAGTTTGAAATTTACTTAAAATTGATTAAAATATTTATCTAATATTGTGTAATATTGTCACATGCTTCAGTTTCCCGGAATCCCCAATGAGGAGAACTTGGCTCCATTGGAGGCACAAGTCCTCAAGCAACTAATAAATGTATTTGAGTTGAACTATAGCTTTCTTTGCTTCATTTAACTGTAAAATTTAATCTTTAGTAATATTCTTTTAGGAAACTACATCCGATTACTTTGCGAATGATTATCGAATGAATCAAATGCCGCCAATGGGAATGGGAGGAGCAATGGGATACTCGTGAGTTTTGAGTGATGATTATTAGAGATTTAAGTTCAAATCTACTGAAGAACCATTCTGTTACAATTCTTGACTCAAAATTTTATTTAGTAGCAATTTCAATGGAATGGATCCCCTTCGATCGGCTCCACTCCCTCAAAACGTTCGCTTCAACTACATGCGACAAGGCATTGGAGGAGCGACGATGGCTTCTTTGCGTGAGTTCACTATAGCACCTTGAATTTTTATCGACTACAATTCACTGCTTACAAATTCTAGAGCTAAAATGTGTCTCAGTCTCTTTGTTCTAGTACAGTACACCAAAAAGAATTCCGGCTGAATATCTTCCAATCTCCTTGTGCGAAAGATAAGCGCTAAACCCTGAAATGAGATGAGCTAACTTTCTGAGCTTTACTGTAACTAGTTGTAAGCTTTTAAGACTTTTTATTGGGATACTGTAGAGCGATGAACTACAGTAGATTTAAGTGAAAGCATAACGATTGTCCTCTCGTCCGTTCATTTAGTCCATTCAGTTTGTTTCCTTTTGTTTTTTCAGCTTCACCATCGTATTTATCGCTGCAAAAGCCCTATCAAAGGCCTTACGGAACGATGAGAAACGAGAATTTCCCCGTTTATTACAATCAAGGAAATAGTAAGAGCGATGGCTTGATTTTCTAATGCTTTTAAGAAAAAAAACTATACGATTTTCGCAACTTTTCGATATTCAGGCAACGATGCGGGCTCGTCACGTTTCAATCCGAGTCTTCAATCGATGAACCCATTCTCACAGCCGCATAGGAGAGATGTTCGTGAAAATTTCATTATTTATTATTAGATCTAGAGCTTGAATTCAATTTTCCAAATAAATCGACCCGTTTTAGCTCATGAATCGTCTCGAGTTGCTGAGAGCTGCTAAAAAGATTGGTGAACCTGAGATCAAAGACGATGACAAGGCTATTTTACAAAGAATAATCCTTGAGCAAGGTTTAAAAGAAAGCAAACAAAATACAAAAAAAAATATTTAGATATGAGACTCCGAATTTGTCAACTTGATGATCAATACGATGATCTCCCGCGGGGAACCGAGCTGACTCTTGTTCTCAACCCGGCTGGAACCTTTGCCAAAGATACACGCACAACAGATGGAAAAGTGTACAATTGCAGGAATACGGCGCTGGATCTAGGTGAGCTGAAAGTTTAGAGCAAAAAAATCCCTTTAGTAGATCAATCTTAAGAATGCTACAAGATTTTAAAGCTAGCTAGGCAAAAGGCCTGTAACCTTTTCTGATCGATATTAGCTTCAAAGATCGATCTAGAAAGAAACTTTTAAAGTCTAGTATCGTATTTAAAACCTTTTAAACCTTTTCTTTTTCTAAAACCTTTTAAACGAATCCTAATCTCAGGTTTCTACCGTGAACCCCCAAACAGTCAAATGATGCCGATGAGAGGCCCATCCGTCAATCTTCCCTCATCAAATGGATACAATATCCAAGCACCGAGACTCACGATCAACCATTGAGATTCTTCAATCCCTTGAAGGGAAAATTGCTACAACCGGGTAACGAAATTTCCCATGCAGTCGACTCTCGATATAACGATTCGCTCGGCATCGCCGCTTAAAATCGTTATAACGAAACAAATAAATCAAGGTTTTACAATCAAATCGTTATTTCAAGTTATTCTAACGTATTTGTCAACAAAAAAAAGTAGTAAATAACAAGCGATTAAGAAACAATTAAAACTTATTGAAAAAAATCTGTTAACGAGGTTTGTCTATTAGTAAAGAAATTGTAATAAATCATCAATAACCGTAAAAGCTTTTAACAATTTTTGAGTCGGCCTTCGGTTTCGCTTAGGAGCATTTGAAAACAACGGTATGCTTCTTTGCGAGAAACTGACGTGATTTCGGTCACTCTTTCGTCCTCATCTTCTGATGATAAAAATTAGAAAAAGTTAGTCAAAAAGAACTCGTGTTTTCAAAAGTAGAATTACTTTGAATTATGAAGGTTAAGATATTCAATGGAAGAAAGGAATATTTACATTTTGAGCTAAAAAACGCTATATCGAATGCAAATTTCATTTCGTTAATCGAGAGTCGACTTTACTTCAACTTATTGTTTCTTTCAGAGTACTGAATCGAAAACGGTTCCATGTAACATTTTTTTGCTTAATGGGTGCAGGGTGCGCCAAAAGTGCAAAAGGGTGCGCCAAAAGTTCCCGTGCATGTATTTTCTGCATTTTTGATGATTTTAGATAAAAGATACGATTTTAAAAGTAAGACATTCGAATTCCTCGCTCGAAAAACTGATTTAGAAAACGTTTCTGGTTAATTTATAAGTGCAACACTATTTAAGACAAGTGACTGAGAAGAGGGCCCAGGGGCGCTTTTGGTCGCACAGTTACAGTTATTTCCTTTGATGAAAATTTGTATAGGAAAACCAAGTTCTAACCTGACTTCCGACTCGGTCGTTGACCATAACTTTATACACCCAATATAAATGATGTCACATTTTATGTCTAGTTTTCGAAAAACATCTTGGCTCTTGAAAATCTTTTGATTCATAAAAGTTACAGGTCTGAAGCCCCAAAAAAATGTGCGACCAAAGCGCCCCTGTGCGACCAAAGCGCCCCTGTGCGACCAAAGCGCCCCTGTGCGACCAAAGCCCCTGGGCGGACCCTCTTCTCAATCACTTGTCTTAAATAGTGTTGCACTTATAAATTAACCAGAAACGTTTTCTAAATCAGTTTTTCGCGCGAGGAATTCGAATTTCTTCCTTTTAAAATCGTATCTTTTCTCTAACATCACCAAAAATACAGAAAATACATGTACGGGAACTTTTGGCGCACCCTGTATGTGCTTAGGTGTTCAAGAACGAGGCAAAGGCTCAGTTCGGGCAATTCTTGAACACTAAATACCCTAAAACTGCAATCAAACACAAATTCTATCTTTCAGCAAACTTCGTTGGCATGCCGCAGTTGCAAATAAATTCACTCTCCTCAAATAGCGGCTCGATGGATGAATGCATTGAGCTTGATTGAACACTCTTATTCACTTAAATCCTATTTTTTTTTGTTGGCAGAATTCCCCTTTGATCTCGTCGACTTGTAGAAAAAGTTTTACCGTTGATAGTCATTTTTGAAAGCTTTTGAATTTAATTTTCACGGAGAAAGAGCTATAACATTGAAATACCTTTACACTTCGACTTATTTACTGAAAAAGCAACCCTACTTTGTATACTTACATAGAAACTTACCCTTTCCAGTCCACGAACCACAATACACCAGCGCTAATGAGCAAAAAGTACACTTCAAAGAAATATTTTGAGTCAATGTGTTAGCTCTTTTACAAATTTTTTGATTTCTTTTTTTGATTTTTCATCGATTCCCTGTGATTTTCTTTTAATTATGGGCATTCTTTTTGGCCAAGATCGTGAAATTCACCCTTAACATGGACTAAAACTGTCAAATATCATTGTCTTTTCTTCTAATATCTATAGTAAACGAATGGTTAGCTTATATGAAATTCTTTTTTGTTATTTAATACTTTGATACTTTGATACAATGTACATTTTTCTCTTATTATTTTCACAAAAAATAGAAAAGTTATCAACAAATTTAGTTATCAACTTGCTTTAAATCTATTTTTTGTTTGTTTTCAAAACTCTTTAATCTCAAAATTCAGGTTTTATTTGAGTTTTTTCTTTTAAAATTTTTGAATTTACTGGTTCTTCGTGATAAATGATAAATGCTTTTTTTTTCGTTTTAATTGATAAAGATTACTGTTAGATTATAGGCTGTAAATGAAAATAGGGAAAAGATTTAAGAAAAAGAAATAGAATAGAACCTTGTGTTGGGTGGAAAATGGTTCTTTAGTAGAGAAGTACTGTGATTTTAACGTATTATACGCTCCTAGGTATAAACGGATGTGGACTAGAATTTGGGTTAAGTTAAAAAGAGTGGATCCCTTTTTGATACCCCGCCATCTCTAACACCTCGACAACCCAACTCAACTCCTCCAACGTATTAGAGGGGAGTCCCTGTGAAATGACCGACCTGTACTGCAGTTGCATAGACCCGGAAGATATGTATCTTTATTTACAGTAATACAATATGATGAATAGATTAGAAATGAGTGTAAGGGGAAGGGGGGACTCCAAAATGAGAGTCTCATTTGTCCTCCTAGGTAGTCCCAGTCTCATTTGTCCTCCTAGGCAATCCCAGTCTCATTTGTCCTCCTAGGCAGTCCCAGTCTCCTTTGTCCTCCTAGGCAGTCACCGCCCCTTCTCGGCAATAAACGGGATAAACACAGGGGAGGACACATTTGCATAAAAATAGACAAATCATTCAATAATAACAATAGTAACTAAAATATCAGTTTGGCTCGGAGCTGACAGTATTTAAAAAATCCCCTAACGTCAGAAAGAGCTTGTTTACACTATTGAGTATTAAGAACATCTTGAAAAAAGAAAACTAACATTTTTCTTGTTTTCTTGTTGAAAAGCTTACCAATCTCTCGAAAACACAACATTTTCCCGAAAAAGAAAACAAAATTTCTTTCCAAATGATTCATTGCCACTTCAAAATGTTTTTTTAATATATTTTATTACTGAAATCTGATTGATTTCATGGAAAATTTAACTAGAATCCCATAAAATCGATGTATTTCCGTATCGCACAATGATCTTTTGAGTGATTTCATGGAAAAAGAAGAAAGCACGTATTTTTGGCGGGTTTCAACTTGTTTCCCGCACAGCTATCACACGTCTTTTCAAGGGCCTATAAAAATGAAAGCAAAGCAAAAGAACTGCCATTCACCCTGTCTTCTAGTCTAGTCTTTGTTCTTTTCTTTCGATCACTTTTTTTTTTCCAATTCTTTCTTTCTTTTTCATCTTTATTTTGATCAGAAAATCTTTCTTTCCAAAAATTTTTGAATTTCACACATTTTCCGATGAATCAGTTTGCTGAAAGATCAGCTGAAAGATCAGCTGAAAGATCAGCCTTTTCCCTTCAGAAATCTCAAGATGATTCATTGCCACTAAAGAATTTAGCAATTCTTGAAAGCCAATCTCTTTTCTTTGCTTTCATGAACTTTTTCTTTCTTTTCTTCGGTCGCGTCCGTTTCCTTCCTATTTGCGTTGCTATTTTGCAATTATTCGCGTCGCATTTTTCGTCCTTTTTCTCCCTTCCCGAAATGATTTTTTTGGTCTGCGGGCTTTTGCCTCCCCTCTCGGGGGATTTTGTTGTTTCATTTTTGATGCGCATGCTGTTTTTGTAATGGGTATTGTTGCATTTCGGTTCTGTACTAATAAACAGTAACGTTATAAATTCACTTTACTTTATGCTACCCTTCAGGTTTTAAATCCTGTTTAGATAACTGGTTTAACATTGTAGAGAGACTGGTTTTACTAACATTTGTGTCACCATCGACGTATCAATAGTATCAATCCGATCTGCACTCTTCTCAAGCGTATTAATCTATTGTTGGATACTACGTGTTCTTGTTACGTTATAAGCGCTTTTGGGGAAACCCGTTTAACCTTTTGTGCTATTCGGCCATTCTTAAGCAGAATCATCCTCGTTGATAAGGTTAAAGCAGGTCGCACCCCAAACTCCTTTCTTTTCTTCTTCTTTCTTTTCTTTTTCTTGAAGCTGCTTTTCCAATTCTCCTACTTTAACTTCAGCTTTCAGTTAAAAGAGATGACTCTTGCTGAACTCTTGGCTCCAACCTTGAAAGCAATGAGATGTGGAGATGGAGATGCGGGACTTGAGTCGTAAGTGAACACTTAAAGTTGATTTCCATAAAACCCTAAAGCATGAAGAACTAGAGCTGTTCATTTTCGCTTTGATCGTCAATAGATGTACACTTCAACAGCTACTTTTTTAAGGGTTTTTCAGACCAAAAGATAGAGCTTACAAGGGAATGACATCAGCTCGAAGTTGAGAATCGCTTCGCGACCGAGTGCATCCTATAGAATCGGCCATGCTGATTCTGAATCTGTAAAAATTAGTTGCAAACACCCACGCAATCGCGAGAAATTCGATCAAACTTCGAACTCTTTATGGGGCCGTCACAAGGAGACTGTCAGATGGCTTCGGTGGTCTAGTAGATAGTGTGCTAGCCTGCTTTCAAACCTTTCAAACCTTTTTTTGGCTTGGGTTCGAATCTTCCCTTCGTCAATTCTTTTTCTGATGTCTTTGCATTAAATATTTATTCTTATGCACCTTTTACTACTTCTGACGATGTTCTAACAAAAATCTGCTTCATATTCATTTCATTCATTCATAAAACTTGCAATTCTCTAAATAGTTGTTAGAACATCGTCAAAAGTTGCAAAAGGGTGCATAAAAGATAAATATTTAATGCAAAGAAATCAGAAAAAGCAAAAAGAACTGACGAAGGGAGGATTCGAACTCAAGCTAAAAAGGTCTGGAGGGTTCCGTAAACTAGCACACTATCCACTAGACCATCGAAGCCATCTAGCAACCCATCTAGCAACCCCATAAAGAGTCCGAAATTTGATCGCATTTTCTATGCCAGATTTCTCGCGATTGCGTGGGTGTTTGCAGCTAATTTTTAGAGATTCAGAATCAGCATGGACGATTCTATAGGATGCACTCGGTCGCGAAGCGATTCTCAACTTCGAGCTGATGTCATTCCCTTGTTAGAAAATTGTAGCTTTGGCAAAAAAATTCTGAAAAGTATATTAAGTGATCAAATCTCGTTTTTCCGTTGATTTATTGAGAATTAAGACAGAAAATGAATAGCGTATGGAGAACTAAAAGAATATAAACTACAAAATATATCTTATTTTCAGTTTTCTCCGTTTCTACACAGAAAATGCTGTGATGGTTGATATTAGTAGAAGAAAAGTTCACACAGGACATCAAGGTTCGCTTTGCCAAACTCCCAAGCATTTTATTATTTAGAGCTTTTGGAGAAATTCGCTGAATTGGCGAAGAATTTCGATTGGATTCCGACGGTGGGATTTAAAAGAAATCAAAATTTACCGTATTTCTTCGAATAGAAGACCGAGTAAAGAGTATCATCGCGTACTCCTGCGTGGCAGCCCTTTTTAAAATTTCTTTTCTGCATAAAGCTTCCAATGAGTGCTATAGAGCTGGAAAATGACTCAAAAATACCACATGAGCTAACAGATTTTCGAGGCCATTTTCCAGCTCTATAGCACTTCATTGGAAGCTTTTATGCAGAAAAGAAATTTTAAAAGGGCTGCTACGCAGGAGTACGCGATGATACTTTACTCGGTCTTCTATTCGAAGAAATACGGTATCCAAGCCCCGCCCCTTTTCCCATTAGCAATCTAACTTTAAGCTCAAATTTCTTGGTGTTGGGATGTTCAATTTATAAACTATTGGTATGATTAGATGCGCCAAGTCTTTCTCTGTCGATTGGTACAAAAACTTTTTATATTCGATAGCCCAACACAAAGAAATTTGAGCTCAAAGTTGGATTGCCAATGGGAAAAGGGGCGGAGCGTGTATCAAATGTCCCACAATTGGACCACAATGAAGGCCAAAACGAACTGTAAGATGGTTTGGGAATGGAAATAATGAAAGCAAAGCTCATCTCCTGGACAAAACTTTGATCTTCCAAAAGTCTTCAATAGCTAATGTTGTTATGCGGACCTTTAGAGTAGAGAAGAGGCAAAAATCGAGAAGAGGAAATTTTAAAAAGGGCTGCTACGCAGGAGTACGCGATGATACTCTTTACCCGGTCTTCTATTCGAAGAAATACGGTAATCAAACTTTTCAGACAAGCGATGAAGAGTACAGTGGTGGAGAGGAATTGATCAGATACGAGTCGAAATGCACTCTGAGAAAAGAAGAAAAGATTATGATTGTCTTGAAGATTGTTCAGGTTTCAATTTTCATTTCAATTCACAAAGATTCACAAGCTCAAGCTTTAGTTCTGGAGGAAAATCGGTGACGAGTACAAGATGGAGGTCGAATTTTACACGGTTTTGGAGGATCATAAGGAGGATCAGAGCAATCAGTGAAAGCTTTCTATATTAGATTTGATTCAGATTTTGATTCAATCACTCGCTTTGTTCGGTTTTCCCTGGTATTACTGTGGAAAATAGATTGTTTATCATTAAGTATCGTTGCCGTTGTCTTTATTCATTATTTTATTTTATTATTATTCATTATAAGATTATTCATGCTTACTAGATAAAAACTTAAAGATCAAAAAACTAAATTTGAGTGGCAGTTTGGGAGGACGAACCCGGGCCGTGTGGGTCTAGGCCATCCGGGCGCGCTACCGACTGCGCCCTAGCCATCCGGGGCGTACCGACTGCGCCTAGGCCATCCGGGCGCGTACCGACTGCGCCTAGGCCATCCGGGCGCGCTACCGACTGCGCCACCGCGATATAGACAACCGGCGCTTAAGCGGGCTATTTAAATAACCTTTATTCATTTGTTCGTTGAAATTTCTTTGTTAAAATGTCAAGTGATTTCTCTGCAAGGAGAATCAATTTCTCTACAATAATTTCGCTGATTGCTCTTCGGGGAAACGATTAGATTGTAGTGGCTCGACAGTCGAAATCTTTGAATCATTTCGTTGCGGGAAGATCTTCGCTTGCACAAACCATTTTCGAATTTGGTCGCGATACGGCTGAAATGGATTAGGTTACTGATTTTTATGAAATAAAACAAATAAAACCAGTTTAAATCTTTAGTCTTTAGTCTTGAGTAACAGCTTTTCCAAAAAAAGCTTAAGGAAACTACTCTTGCCTTTAGCTTCAATCTACTTTACTGTACTCTTTGTCCTTTGGAATCCTTTGGAATCCTTGAGAAACTCTCACAGAAATCAGACAGAAAGTAGATATTGAATAAAAACTAAAGCAAGATTACGATAGCTATCAAAAGTTGATACGTTGAAAGCACAGAGAACTCGAAAAGTACAATGGATTGCTAGTGTGGCGAATTGCCACTGCTCTTAGAATTGTGTTTTTTTTTGTACGATTCGCCAGAAAACGGGCATTCAATCCAAAAATATACATAGAAAGGCTAAAATCTAAAACTTTTGCCTATGTGGCGAATTGCCACTGCTCTGCAGTTAGTCAAAATTCAATACACAATTTAAAGTTGATGGATAAACTACCGTAATCAGTCACTTCATTTATTCAGACGATATTCATTTGTTTGTCGTAGCTTGTGTACTTAAAAACCCATTATTTAAGCTTTGTTTTGAGTCATTTGTGTGCTCCTTGAGGCAGTTTTCTATTCATCCCTTTTTTCTCACGCAATTGTTAAAGTAATTGTGATGGTGCCAGGTTGCTCCAGTCTCAGCGAAGTTTGCTCTAATAAGGGAAGGTTTTGATAAATTTTCAAGACATCTAAACTACTGGAGAATGAAATATGATATTTGAAAAAGATCGTCACTTTCGCGCGTCTGTAACTCCGTTGTCTTTATCGTATTTCTAAATATTAATATTACCATTGTGTAGCCCTGGAAAAGAGGTTTCAGAAAATGTAGAACACTAATAGTTTAACCTCAAAGACAAGGGAGTTACAGACGCGCGAAAGTGACGATCTTTTTTCAAATATCATATTTCATTGTTCAGTACTGTACCATTGAACCATTGAACTGTACCAAATTGTGCGTTTTCAAGACATCTACCATTAAACCACACCGAGACACGGTCTGACAAGAAATTATAAAGATCAAAGTAGAAATATATTTCTTACAGCTAGTCTGGTTGCAAAACCATCAAACATACCCGGGTGATCAACAGAATCATAAAACAATTGACACTCGAATGGCAGACACCCATCAATGGAGCCAACGCCATAACTAAATCAATGTAGATTGAAATTCAAATTGGTCAAATGATTAACAAATGATTCATTCAATTAACGCATCCTCACGTGGTTGCATCATATCGAAGAACCATTGAAGTTCGTTGAAAAACGGATCTAGCAACCCTCCGATAAAATAGTGAGCAAGTTGAGGAACCGCGTAAATAACTCCCTCAACTGCACCACAACATAACACAGCAGTAAGCTAAGAATCGAATGAAACAGATGAAACAAAACTTTCAAATGAAATCACCTGCACTGCCATCACAATGTAGATTTGCGCTTGAAGGACTTTTGTTTGCGGAGAAATGTTGTAGTCTGGAAATTTGATGGCTAAGTTTACCTGTCGTTATCAAAATGGCAACGGTACTGTTCCAAGATTGGAGATGTTTAACTAGCTATAAGTCTCACTGTTAATCAGTCGTGCTCACGTTAAAAGCCAGGCTAGTCTAGTCTAGGCCAGATCAGAAGTCCGGCCAGTGCAAGTCCGGCCAGTGCAAGTCCGGCCAGTGCAAGTCCGGCCAGTGCAAGTCCGGCCAGTGCAAGCCCGGCCAGTGCAAGCCCGGCCAGTGCAAGCCCGGCCAGTGCAAGCCCGGCCAGTGCAAGCCCGGCCAGTGCAAGCCCGGCCAGTGCAAGCCCGGCCAGTGCAAGCCCGGCCAGTGCAAGCCCGGCCAGTGCAAGCCCGGCCAGTGCAAGCCCGGCCAGTGCAAGCCCGGCCAGTGCAAGCCCGGCCAGTGCAAGCCCGGCCAGTGCAAGCCCGGCCAGTGCAAGCCCGGTCAGTGCAAGCCCGGTCAGTGCAAGCCCGGTCAGTGCAAGCCCGGTCAGTGCAAGCCCGGTCAGTGCAAGCCCGGTCAGTGCAAGCCCGGTCAGATCAAAGGCCAGCTCCAGAAGCTAGTCCAAGGCATGCCAGAAGTCAGGTCAAGTCTAGACCAGATCAGATCTGATCTAATCTATTAGTCTTGTGCAGAAAGTCTTTTCGTTTCTTTCCTTAACATTTAGGGTATATATTAAACTCCAGACACGCTTAAGTAAAGTAATTTTGCACCAAATTTCTTTTGAATCCACCAGAAAAGTTGTTATTTTTCCACAAAAAAAGCTGTCTCGATTCTATTCTTATACTTTATAAGCCTCTTGCACAAACCTTTATTCCGATAGACGTATATCAAATTGTACAGAAAAGCGTGTCCCAGTACAAGAATTTGAATTCCAATCTGTGGAATCATCACCGCCACCAGGACATAAACCCAAGGCCGATGAACGTCAAAGAACATTTTGGGATACGGATTTGAAAGTAAATAGGCGAAATCGGGATCGGATTCGATCTGAATTCGATAAAGATGGAAGTTGTCATCAGAAATTTGTTACCAAAATAAAGGACATTATAAAGGATAGAAGATAATATTCTATCCTTTATAATGTCCTTTATTATCGGGATCGGATTCGATCTGAATATCATAAAGATCGAATTTGTCATCAGAAATTTGTCACCAAAATAAAGGACATTATAAAGGATAGAATATTATCTTATCTCTTATCTTTATATTGAGTAATATCTTGAGCTTGAGTAATATTCTATCCTTTATACTATCCTTTATTATCGGGATCGGACTCGATCTGAATATCATAAAGATCGAATTTGTCATCAGAAATTTGTCACCAAAATAAAGGACATTATAAAGGATAGAATATTACTCAAGCTCAAGATATTACTCAATATAAAGATAAGAGATAAGATAGGATAAGATATAAAGATATTACTCAAGCTTTATCTGTAAAGATTTACAATTGAAAGAGTGTAATTCTCTCCCGCATACGCGTCCACATTTGCATAGGCCATTAAAGGAACGGTTGTGTAGTTTAGCGTGTAAACAATCATTCCCAACATTGCCAAGAGTTTCTCCTAAAGTTTTTTTCAATTAATAAGTAAGTTTCGATAAGTAAGTCACAGCTAGAGTCAAATGGAAAGCCTTGGAAGTGGCTTGGTTTGGCCGTTCTTTCAGCTGTTCTTTTTCGTAAACATTCAGACTCTAACAGACGAACTTCTTGCTAACTTTGAAGACAATTACTGTCTACAGTATGCAGTTTACCAACCATAATATGAAAACTACAGTATAACAAATATAATATGGCCATACAAACTACAGTACGCTCTCTACAGTCCTCTACAGTAGGCCTAAAGTTTTGAAGACAACTACAGTGTACTTTGAAGACAACTACACTATACTTTGAAGACAACTACAGTGTACTTTGGAGACAACTACAGTATACTTTGGAGACAACTACAGTGTACTTTCTATACTTTCAACTACAGTATGCGTTCTATAGAAAACACACCCTTTCTGGTGTACTCTGACTGTGAAATTTTGAGAGCCTAGTGCCAGAAATCGTTTACCGTTTACCCTCAATAAGGTAAGTACACTCAATTTGAATACCTTGTCCATTGGCACAGCTAAACAAATTCGATAATAACAAGAGGCCGAGATTGAGATGATGATCCCATCTAAACAACCCACGAAAATACCCTAAACAAAAAACGGACAAGAATATGGATCTCTTCAATCTCTTTACTCACCACAAGCCAACTCGCTAACCAGGGTGGTAGTGGGAAAACGGATACCCAATAGAATCCGACACCATTCGTGATGATCACTGGAGCTAAGATGGCCAAAGAGAGATCACCGATCAGACCAAAGGACTCAATTGTGGTTTTGATAGATTTTATATACTCTTACAGCTAAACAATAAGACAAGTTCTACACTTAAGTGGATTTAATCTTGGAGCTTTATCTTGGTCGTATACTTAAGCGGATTGGCTTAATCTTGGAGCTTCATCTTGGTTGTACACTTAAGCGGATTGGCTTATTTTAGTAGAGAACACAGTTATACCGGTCGGTAAAGTAAGGAATGGTAAAGAAAGTTTTCCGGAAAGGGGTTGAACCCTCGACTTGAACCAGGAAAGGGATTGAACCCTTTTGCTCCCACTAACTTAAGCCTAACTTGTCTATCCAGTATCTTTTCCAGAGAAGAAAGGGGAATCCAAGGGAAGAGAAAGGAAGAGAAAGGAAGAGAACGAAAAAAGAGAAGAAAATATGTAATAAGTTTACAGTATAGTAAGCTACAAATTTACAATTAATTACAGTAAACTTTGGAAAATTATCTTATCTAATGTTTATCCATCTTTAAAACGAAAAGCTTAATCTTGGAGCTTTATCTTGGTCGTACACTTAAGTGGATTGGCTTAATCTTCGAGCTTCATCTTGGTCGTACACTTAAGTGGATTGGCTTAATCTTCGAGCTTCATCTTGGTCGTACACTTAAGTGGATTGGCTTAATCTTCGAGCTTCATCTTGGTCGTACACTTCAGCCAATTGGCTTCAAACATATCAAAAAAAACAAACCAAAGAACCAAGCAAAAGCCATCGGTAATGTCGGGTGTTTTTCGGTGAATATCTCATCACAATAAAGATCGTCAATGAAACAAAAGCTGAAGTGGAATGATTGGACAAGTTTAGACTCGTATTTTGTGCAAAAGTACGCTATCTAGCACACTAGCTTGTTCATTTGTTGCATAAAAATCAGAAAGTACTGTCAAAAAGTACTCTCAGAAAGTACGCTCAATAGACAAGGCTGCTAAGACTTTATGCTCTAGCAAACGCATCGCATCTGGTACACTAAATTATTGTTAGAATCAAGAACTAAGTGTGCTAGAAAGCAAGCGTTTGCCGAAACACAAAGTCCACCTCACCAATATCACAAATCCCGAAAAATAGAAACGCTCGGCCGATAATCTTTGCTTGTTCAAGAGAAATTTCCATCATAACGGTCATATTCGTCAAAAGTTTGTAAATGAAAATGAAAGTCTGACCTTTTCAAGTCTTGACTATTTCTTTTTAATCAAAAACCAGCAAGCAGATGTATTTTTTCATCTCTAATGCTTTTTTGAGACTTTTTGAGACTTACAATTGTATCAAAAAAGTCAGAGAAAGCAATCTACAATCTTGAGTTTTCAGTTAATCGAACAATTGAACAGAAAGCAAGGTTTGATGTCGAAAACATTGTGACATTATAGATTATAATCTAATCTTTATCCACAAATGCATAGAACTTCAAGAAGAAAGCTCTCAGCTGTCTGCCAATGTCTGCTAGACAATCAGCAACTTCAAGCAACTGTAAAGGTCAGTAACTTTTTTTTGTTAATCACTCAATCCATCCATTTGTTTCAATTCTCTTTGATTCTTTGATATTCAATAAAATCTTGTGCTAACTTTTTTCTGAATCTTTTAAGTGAGCCAACTTGAACAGGTGCATTCTCGTTGCCATACTTTTTTCCTCATTAGTCGACCAAACATTTGCACATTGTATTTGTTTCAATTTTGTGTTATCTTTAGCTTATAGTTACCAAAAAAGTAGTCAGTAAATTATCTTTCTATTAATATAAATATAAATAAAACACGTTTTGAGTTGAATTAACGTCGATAATCGATATGGATAAGCAAGTATACCTCTTTCGTCCGCTTCCGGGCTTGGACTGAACATGTCCCTCATCTTTCCATCGCTTTACGAGCTTCTTGAACCTGTCCCTCATCTTTCCATTGCTTTACGAGCTTCTTGAACCTGTCCCTCATCTTTCCATTGCTTTACGAGCTTCTGGACGGTCCTCAGAGCCACCACAAGCCTCGATGCGATCGTTCTTCATGCCGCTCGTCGTCAGCTGTGCGTCCCGACTAGCGCACGTCTTTGTGCGCTAGTCGGGACCTAGAAAACAACTTTCTTAACGAAAAATTAATAGATAACAATAACAAGAATATTAAAGCACAAAAAGATGAGTAGTAATGATTTATACATTGTTTAAAACTATGTGAGATGCTGCGCGCATGTAATTTTCAGCCACCCTGTAGTATCCAGTACTGTAACATTCATCAACTTCTTAACTTTTAAACTACATTTCAACTATCTCTATCAATTCGAGACTTAGTCGACTGTAACACAATTATCTTTTATTGAAAGAATAACTGAATGACGCTCTAACCCTCATAGTCTCGATTTTCTCAGAAACAGGTGTAAACTTTGAGCTAAAGCTAAAGCTGCGCTTTTTTCCTCATTTCCCAAACAAAACTTTTTGTAGCCAGAAAACTTGCTAATTAATTTCCTAAATAGGAAAAGGAAAAATTGTGAGTTAGAATTTCCAAATGAAGTGACGATCTTTTGAGATGAAATTTTAATTGGCCGGTTGGGTTGGGTTGGGTAAATGAACCAGCCGTACAGTCTTCAATCTACAGCCTGCAGTACAAGTAAACTTTCAAAAATTGAATCAAACTTTGGCGTAAATTTGACTGAAAAAAAGCAATCAGTAAATAAAAATGATCCAACGAGGAAACACTAAAAACAAGCTTCCAGCAAAACAAAAGGATTTTAAAAAGAATAGAGAAACGATGATCAAGTTCGTCTCGTTGCCAAATAATTTTGTAGTCAGAGGATCAAAAAACGTTCATTTTTGGGATCTTTCAACAAATTAAGTCGATCAAAGAAATTTCTCTTGATTTAAAGTCGACAAAGTTGATGATCTTTGTGATCGTAGATTGAAAAAATTCCGTATTGTTGCATATTATCGACTTTTCACTGATTAATGATTAAAATAAACATCGCCATTTGATTCACTGTCGCCGAAAACCCCTGTGTACAAATTCATAGCTTAATATATTCTTTTTTGGGTCATCTACAAAGAAAAATCCCTATAAATGACTGGCAAGGGGTTCTTTGTGCGGGCCCGTAATCGTTCGCGACCTGGTAAATGCCCCTAATAGATAGGCGCTCCCTTTTAGCGCCGAGACAACATCGGTAAAGCGATCAGACAACAAAACGACCCGTGTCCTTTCGGTTCTTTTTAACTGGTGGTTTTTGTGACTGAAGATCTGATGAAGCTTGTTTGCAAGAATGTGAAAAGGAAGAACTAATGGCTATCTACCTCTCAAACGACTTCCAAACCTGGTCTTCATGGAAAGAAAATAATGCTCTGTTGTTGGTGGAACTTTGGTGCACTCTCAGTTAGCTAATTCAGAAGAAAACATTGATGCTGATCTCTATTCAAAACAATTGACTAGAGTTAACGATGCTTTAAAGAAATTGGGGCTCAGTCAATTAAAAAATGAAGGAAAAAAGAGTATTTCTGTAATTTGAAACTTCTCTGATTTAGAGAGTCATTCTAAACGGGGATTTGCATGAAATCGTATAATTCTTGCCTTTTCTTTGTAATTGTAGTTTGTAGTTTAAACATATGAGAGTGCTAGCAAACCGTTTAAAGAAGCCCATTGTTATTGTTTTATTTTTATTAACATCAACCAAATCTACGCAATCGCTTCAATTCGTATTGTCGGTTCTTGTATGGTTCGCGATGATCTTTTCCCTTCATTATCCGTTTCCTCTTTTTCATTCCTCTTCTTGAAGTAAAATGATCGAATGCTTCGATTTATCGTCAAATAAACAATTGACGAAATACCTTAAAAGCAGTGTTTCTCTCTTTCAAATCATTAAAAATTTACCTGCACAAGTTTGCCACGAGAAATACCCGACCAAGCACAAAAATAAGCTGCCAGAGGAAAAGAATTGAATGTAAATGTAGACGACTGCAGCAAGGAAAGTGGGCAAAGTGATGAGAACGGATTGGAGGAGAAGCTGAAGGTTGTTAACTTGAGCTTGAGACTTTCTATTTCGTCTCAAGCTTGAGACAAGCTTGAGACGAAATAGAAAGTACTAAAATTGCAAGTGAAATCTTCCCACCCTCATTTCATCTCGTGAGATTCGGAAGTCTTTTCTGCTAACCACAAAGCACCAAATTGAACCGTAGATTAACGTGAGAGTAGCCGCTGTACCCAAGTTATTCATTTTATGAGTTGGGTTCAAATAGAGGACGTTTTCCTGGAGATTTGAGCTTTGTTATGATCTACAGACTTGCTACAATCTTCTATTTTCAAGAGTTAAAGTCAGCAGCTCTTTACGTGCTGATGTGCTTTGTGCTCAACAATGGAAACTCACTCTTTCTGGCGCACTAATTTAGCTTGGGATTCTTATTGTCAGTTGGGTGCATCAGAAAGTGTGTGTTTCTATTGTGAGCACAAATCTCAATTGCATAAATCTTGCTCACAATCTCGAAATCCTCAATGAATGGATAAGTGATCGCTGCAAAGACTCGAGAATTGAATGGATAAGGCTTATTGAGAACTCCACAATAAAATGCATAAACAAGTGCCGGTCCAAGCCACAGAACATAACCGCCACAACTCTAAAGGAATTTCTTTGATTAGCGACATTTTCTTTAACTTAGCTAGCGAATTAGCTCTAATTAGCTCTAATTATCTCTATTTAGCTCTAATTATCTCTAATTAGCTCTAATTATCTCTATTTAGCTCTAATTATCTCTAATTAGCTCTAATTATCTCTATTTAGCTCTAATTATCTCTAATTAGCTCTATTTAGCTCTAATTAGCTCTATTAAGCTCTAATTAGCTCTAATTAGCTCTAATTAGCTCTAATTACCAATCTCTAATACCTAATTACTAATTATCTCTAATTAGCCTATTTAGCCTAATTAGCTCTAATTACTAGCTCTAATTATCTCTAAATTTCTTTGATCCAACTCTGAAAATCCAATTGATTCGTTGAAAGCCGGTGATCACACAAAAGCGATTGATTGCCAGAAGAACATAAAGAAAACAAGCAAAATTCCAGATAACTAGATTTCAATTTACAATTATAAAAAGAGAATCCTTACAAATCGTGAACATTCCATTTAAATAAGACCAAAAAGGATCCGTACAGAAAACCCCGCCAATCACCGCCATATAAGCATTGAACCAAGATGAAGAGACGATATTTAAAATGTCAGTAATTATTAGAACAAACATTATCTAAAGTTTTAGATTTGATAAGTTAATGTTTTTTTTTGCTTACTCTGTAGCAAGAGTGTTGTGCAAGTCGCATTTTGTTGATTGCGTAGATGCTGGGAATGTAAAGGCACTGGAAAATTGATTCGATTGAACACTTGATACAGCTATTTGTTTGGTTAAAGCATTACTAGCTATAGCATCAAATTGTAGCTATAGTTTTACTCTTAAAGCTTTCCAGATCCAATTAGATCCAGTTAGACTGTCTTTAGAGCTTTACAGGCCGTATAGTGGTATACTAGCGAGTTTATTGGCTACAGTATCTATTGGCTTGTACACCCTATTGGCTTGTACACTCTATTGGCTTGCACACTCTATTGGCTTGTACACTCTATTGCCTTGTACACTCTATTGGCTTGTACACTCTATTGCCTTGTACACTCTATTGGCTTGTACACCCTATTGGCTTGTACACTCTATTGGCTTGTACACTCTATTGCCTTGTACACTCTATTGGCTTGTACACCCTATTGGCTTGTACACTCTATTGGCTTGTACACTCTATTGGCTTGTACACTCTATTGGCTTGTACACTCTATTGGCTACAGGACACTCCATCTAACGTACAATATAAGTTGTTCCCAATATCGCCAAAAACATTCCCAGTGTCGGCCACGTTGTTCCCTCTTTCTTCCATTCTTCTAATGTTTTATTTGAGCAATTGTACAATGAATCGGAATAGCCGAAAATATTACGGATTATTTGAATGTCCGGCATCTGAAAATCATCTATTAGTGAGAAAGATCATACGTAAACAGAAAAAGCAAATGAAACCAACTTTTTGTGCTTTAAATGATGAGGGTTTTGACACAAATAAAGTAATTCAGTAATTCAGTGTGTTAGGCAATTCTTTTAAAAGTAATTCAGTGTGTTAAGCCTTTTCTTGATTAGAAAAAGATTAAGAGAATAGCTTTTGACTGGAGATTGAGTAAAAAAGAAGAAAAAAAGAAGAACATGAATGGAACAAATGTTTTAGATATGATGAGAGTTACTAAAGGGTGGATTGAACGATGAACGATGAACTAGAAATTGAGATGTTCTCCCAGAAATTTGACGCCCATTCAAGAATTCCCCGGTTTATTTACCAGCCAAGAATTCCCCGGTTTCTTTACCCAAATTTAAGATAAGATAAATGAGTCCAGTCCAGTTCATCCCGTAGAATGCTGGCAAGTCTGAACACGCCCAAAACATGTAAAAATTCAAAAGTTGGGAACTCTAGGTGGCTGCTGAAACAACCGCAATTCCTATATTTTTGGAAAATCTGTTAACCCGAAAATGATAAGAAAAATATAGTTTAAAAAAGAATCATCGGATTTCAAAGCTTCTAAACCAAAATCTAAAATCGAAATTTTTCCTGAAGCACATGATAACACACGATGAACTAGAAATTGAGACGTTCTCGCAGAAATTTGACGCCCATTCAAGACTTTTAAAAGTGAATCTGAAGAGGCTTGGGAAAATGAAGAAAGATATTCTTTTTTTTTGATAAAAAGCACAAGTATTTATGCTAAAAGCTGAAAAGATCACTTTTGAAAAGGTAATTGGTTTTTGCGAAACTAAATTCAAGTTTTTTTTGCCTCTTCTCTACTCTAAAGGTCCGCATAACAACATTAGCTATTGAAGACTTTTGGAAGATCAAAGTTTTGTCCAGGAGATTAGCTTTGCTTTCATTATTTCCATTCAACTCCCCAAATCATCTTACAGTTCGTTTTGGCCTTCATTGTGGTCCAATTGTGGGACATTTGATACAGCTCCGCCCCTTTTCCCATCAGCATCTAACTTTAAGCTCAAATTTCTTTGTGTTGGGCTATCGAATATAAAATAGTTTTTTGTACCAATCGACAGAGAAAGACTTGGCGCATCTAATGACACCAATAGTTTATAAATTGAACATCCCAACACCAAGAAATTTGAGCTTAAAGTTAGATTGCTAATGGGAAAAGGGGCAGGACTTTGGATACCGTATTTCTTCGAATAGAAGACCTGGTAAAGAGAGTATCATCGCGTACTCTTGCGTAGCAGCCCTTTTTAAAATTTCTTTTCTGCATAAAAGCTTTCAATGAAGTGCTATAGGGCTGGAAAATGGCTCAAAAATCTGTTAGCTCATGTGGTATTTTTGAGTCATTTTCCAGCTCTATAGCACTTCATTGAAAGCTTTTATGCAGAAAAGAAATTTTAAAAAGGGCTGCCACGCAGGAGTACGCGATGATACTCTTTACCCGGTCTTCTATTCGAAGAAATACGGTAGCTTTGTGGTCCGGTTACGAAAAGTTCCAGATTCTCCAGTGGAAATGGAAATTGATTTCTTTCTCATTTCAAATGAGAATTAAAATTTATCGCGTAAAACAATACTTTCAATTAATCTGACGAAAATAAATGATTTGAAAACGAAAAAAAAACGACAAAGAAACAAATGATTTCAAGCGAAAAATAAACGACGACGCGGCGCTCCAATCGACTACCTCCAAATGGCGGCAACGTCAATTGGAATGCGACGTCGTATTTAAAATTTGCGAAAGAAAGTCAAATTTAACATGAGAACGTCGAAAAACACTTTTTTTCTGATTTTTTTTCCGAAAAATTCAAGTAACTGTAATCTCTTCAGTTTTTTTTTAAAATTCCAAACGAATAGAACAAATTTTTGTTTATTACAGCTACTTTCTACTCTCAAAAAAAAAATATTTCTTTAAATAGAAAATATTACTAATTGTAAGCTGTTAAATATAAACCTAGATTAGAGTTTTGAAACAATAGAATAACTTTGAAAACAAAAGAACAATAGTGTAGAATAGGAGGAAGTGATTTTAAAGTAAAATCAAGAAAACAAAACTAAATCTTAAAAAAGACTAAAGACTAAAAGAAGACTAAATAAGGGGTAGGCTAATTTCCGCAATTTTTTTTACGCAACTGGGTCGTTTGCGCAACTCTCCATAACTTCCTTCTAAGTAGACCAATCTTTATCATTTTTGTTTCATTTTGTTGCACTTATTGAGATCTACAAAATGAAACAAAAATGATAAAGATTGGTCCACTTAGAAAAAAGTTATGGCGAGTTGCGCAAATGGCCCAGTTGCGCAAATGACCCTGTTGCGGAAATTAGCCTACCTTGGCTAGTTTCTTGGCTAGTTACTGTACTGTCTTAAGTCTTGGATTAAGATTTTATTACTATAATACTATATAGTCATAAACTGGATGTTTGGTTTCATTTTGTAGATCTCAATAAGTGCAACAAAATGAAACAAAAATGATAAAGATTGGCTGACTTAGAAGAAAGTTATGGCGAGTTGCGCAAACGATCCAGCTGCGCTAAGGATCCTGTTGCACAAATGGCCCAGTTGCGTAAATAAAATGGCGGAAATTAGCCTACCCCCTAAATAACAGTGATTGACAAGTTATAAACAAACTCTTTTATAGAATATTTTCAAAGTTTCAAAAATAAATCCTTATTTCAGACATTATCCGCCAAGAAGAATTTCTTTTTTTTGATACTAAGTAATCCGTGGGAAACGAGAAGTTTACGTGGAAATGCTCTAATGAGGAAAGGAAAGGCTTTCCTCAAAAGGAAAGCACTTATTCCGATTCTTATAAAAATATACTATAAATTATTCAATTATTTTGAGGAAGTTTTCTAAATATTGACAAAAGGATGAAAGGATTGACAAATTTGTAAGGCTCAACATCATCAGCTTATCAGTATACCATATGAAATGCTTGCTATTTTGAGGATCAGCTATCGTAGCAAGACAAGAAATTCAATTTCCTTTAGATTCTTGAAAGAATTTAATGCTAAAACAAGATACAAATTCGATTTTAGATTGAAACTTTATCAACTTTCTTTTCCCAAATAAACACCTGTCTTCAAAAAAAATACAAGTTTTTTGGTTTAGAGAAAAAAACTGTTATACAGTGAGGTTCATTTGTTGTTTCTTTTAATGAACTTCGAAAATCGAATCAAAACACAAAATGGGCAAATTAACAAGAATAGAACTCTTGATTCTATCTGTTTATGTTCATTTATTTTCTGATTAAATGTTATGGAGCTGAAGTTCTCTGAGTTTAGTAGCTGATCAAATTTTGGACCAAATTAGGCTATTCAAGGATCAAATAAACCAAAGCCAAGGACCAAATGGAGCAAATAGACCAAAGTCAAGGATCAAATGAACCAAATGGACCAAAGCCAAGGACCAAATGAACCAAATGGATCAAAGTCAAGAACCCAATGGACCAAATGGATCAAAGTCAAGGACCAAATGAACCAAATGGATCAAAGTCAAGAACCCAATGGGAAAAAACAAAAAGAAAAAGAACCAAATGGACCAAAGTCAAGAACCCAATGGACCAAATGAATCAAAGTCAAAGACCAAATGAACCCAATGGATCAAAGTCAAGAACCCAATGGACCAAACGGATCAAAGCCAAGGATCAAATGAAACAGATGGATCAAAGTCAAGAACCAAATGAACCAAATGGACCAAATTGGACCAAAGTCAAAGACCAAATCGACCAAATCAAGCTAGTCAAGGCTAGACCAATCCACTCTTGTCCAAGCCAAGGCTAAACCAAACCAGAAACGGCCTAACCCAGCCAACAATGGTCAGTTAAATTATTTCAGTGCAATAACCCTGTAAAAACAGCTAAACCCATTGTTTGCTCAGCTCTTTGTAGTCGAATCCGTTTTCTCGTTTCTCCAAACTCCCCAAAGATCAAATTGTAATTTTCGTTAATTCTCAAAGGAATTTCGTTACTCAACCATTGCTTTCGTTACTCGTTCAATTTAAAAAATCTTCTGTTGTTCAACAACCAACCCCTTCACACAAATATTTATTCAATCAAAAGAGATTTTTTTTTGAGACATTCATCTATATACAAAATGATATCACTTTAAAGCTAAAGGGTATCCACAAAAAAGAAATGACTAGGGAAATCACATAAAAACAAATAAACTAAACAAAAAACAATCAGAAATGAGTGTCATTTTTAGGGTTTTGCTCAAGATCCGTTTCTTTGATTGGCGTATTTTGGAAAACTTTGACACTTTGTTGTTGGGGATTACTGCTGTCTGCGATTTTTCGTGTCTCCTCTTCGGTACTGTGTCTCATCCCGTATAATAAGTAAATTGCCATACCTGGAAATGAATTATTTACCCAATTTGTTACCCAATTTGTTACCCAACTTGTTACCCAATTTTATACCCAATTAGTTACCCAATCTTTTACCCAACTTGTTACCCAATTTGTTACCCAATTTGTTAGTCAATTTGTTACTCAATTTATAGGTGAAAATGTTTTCAGTCAAATTACCCATTTTTTTGACTTTGGATTTATTTAGTTACCAGTTTCTTCATCAATTTGAAACTAAAAGTGCTTTAGGATTCGGTTCAATGACTTAACTTTCAAGTAAAAGAGCTTTAGATCCGGTTACCAGTTACCAGTTTCTTTTCCTTACAAGAAACCCTCACCAATGGTCATCCAAATGGCTAAACGAATCCACGCTAATCCAGGCAAATTCAACATCATCATCGAGTTGCAAAACAATGACAATGCCGGAATGAAAGGCACAAATCGGACCTGAGCTTCACAATGAAAATTTTTCTCATATTTCTTCACCTTGAAAGCCAATTGCACATTATTTTGCTTATATACACAAATCCAGAAAAACGAGATCATTGAGAGCAAAGCACCGATGATGGCAAGGAAGATGCCGAACCAGTGCGTGATGAGACCCGTCGTGAAGGAGAGACCTAGAAACTCGTTCATACAACTGGAAACTCGTTGATACAACTCGATACAACTCGATACAACTCTATACAACTCGATACAACTCGATTCAACTCTATACAACTCGATACAACTCTATACAACTTGTCTAAGCCTAAGCCTAAGCCTCAAAAAGAATATTGATCCTTTGCCAGATAGCTTGGGTTTTTATTTTACCCAAGCACACAACTCTTATCTTACTCACCAAAAATAATAAATCCAAAAAGCATGATTGTGAGCGCGATGTGAATACCCGTTTTCATGGAAAGCTTCTCGAGAGTGCCACTTCCCGGGAAACGAAGCCGGAAATATTCTGGATGATCTAAAGTACTCATATATTCTTCTGTTCTCTTATATTCTTCTGTGACTACTATAAAATTACTTTACCATCAGAAACAGTATCGGAAAGATCGTGTTGATAACGTAGAATGATTACACAAGCTGCGACAATCGAATAGGCGAGAAGAGTTCCTGAAATTGGGGTCCAAAGTGATCTAATTGTTAACTGAAATGATCTAATTGCTAACTGAAGTGATCTAACTGCTAACTGCAGTGCTGATCGAACTGCTAACTGCAGTGATCTAACTGTTAACTGAAGTGATCTAACTGCTAACTGCAATTGTAAGTCTTCAGACCTAATCTGAAACCTTTTCTTACCTAATGACAAAAAGTCGACTAGAGTATTGACATTGACGAGAGAAGCGATCACCTGAATTCTTTTTGTTTCTTTTTGTTCTTTGAAAAAGCAACTCACAGCTGTCATCAATCCAAAAACAACAATTGCGTTGACTGGGACCTAGATTTTAAATATTACAATATTACATGCTCAGTTCAAAATTCTTTTTCTTTAAACTATTGTTCACTTACCCGAGTCGTTCCATGAACTCTTGATAACCATCTGAAGATGAGCCCGTCTTGAGCCATTGCGTAAACACAACGCGGCAATGAGAACATCGATCCAAACTAAATATCAATTATTGTCCATATTCTTAAATGAAACTGATTCCTTTAAACTCTAATTCTTTCCCCCACCATACTCGTCGTCATTCCACAAATTGCACCCAACGAGACAGCCCATTTGGCAATGGTTGAGCCTCGTTGTTGGAAAGCTGTGGCAAAAGCCGCATTCACATCAATCTAAGAAAATGAACTCGATCTTTTGATTAACAGATTTTGATAGTTTTGACATTCCATTTCAGTTTCGATCTCATTTTCGATACATTTCTAAGCCTTGTGCTATTCTAAGCCTTGTGCTATTCTAAGCCTTGTGCTATTCTAGCCTTCGCCTTGTGCATTCTAGCCTTGGCTATTCTAAGCCTTGTGCTATTCTAAGCCTTGTGCTATTCTAAGCCTTGTCCTATTCAGTAAACCAGCCTTCATTCTGTAGACTGTTTTAAGGCTGTTTTTAGGTATCAGCTTGTATCTAACCATATATAGATACAATTTTTTCAACTTCTAGCTATGACTTCTCCATATCCAATCCAAATCCAAACTCACATCTGTATATGGAACCATCAATGCAAGAGCGGCAGCCATCGAGACATAGGCCACGGTGACAATACCCATACAATAGAAGGTAGATAAAGGAATGGCTCGAGATGGATCTAGAATCATTTAGAATTAAATAGAAAGTTTATTCTTATGGGTTATGTAGCTAAAATGCAGAAAAATTGCTCAAGATCATAAATTTGAGATCTTTCTTGGAGATACAGCAAATGAACCCAGCCAACCCAGCTTCCCCCGATCCCGAAAACCCTTTGATACAAACTTTTGGCTTCAGATCTTATCTGAGCAGTGTTTACAGAACAAAAAAAGTTCCTTTGTCCTGCGAGACTGCGAGATGTTCTTTGAGATGTTCGATGGCGTAATCGCTCGCCGTCTGGCGCAGGGCTTTTACATAACCCCTTCCCGTTTCCCATCAGCAATTTCCTAATCCTTAAATTTGACATTGACTTCTCCCCAAATCAAGGCTAATCTCAATATGAATGTGGAATGTGAATGTGGTTCCAATATGGTTCCAATTTGGTTCCAATATGGTTCCAATATGGTTCCTCGAACTTCTATATTGGAACCATATTCCTCGAACGATTAGAAAGGCGATCAACAAAAGCCGGGTACTGATCACCTTGATCTTTAACAAAAGACATGTGGATTGAGTGATTTTGGGAAACCTAAAAGCACGAGAAGGTTGATCTTACTTCTTGCTTCTTCTCCGGCTGTCGCCAAACCATCAAAGCCGACAAAAGCAAAGAAACACGAGGCGGCTCCAGCCAGAGTTCCCGCGAAACCAAAGGGGAAGAATCTGAAAAAGTTTTTACAAAGTAAGAGTTTTTACAGCTTGTACAATCTTTTTTCTTCAATTTACAAATTTCAAAGCCTAAGCTTAAGCCAAATCCTCACTTCGAAACCCCATTTTCCGTCTCACCACTCCACAACGAGAAATCCGCATATCGGAAACCGAAACCAACGACGACAACGATTACCTAAAACGGGAAATTATGCAAATTACGTTTACCGATCAAGCGCCATATAGAAAACATTTTTATTCTCCATTTCTATATACAGTTATTGATCTAAAACTTACGCAAAGATTGAGCAAAGTGAAGAAACTGTTGAATCTCGTCGAACCCTTGGAACCGATTCCGACACAGAACTGAAACATTTTTTCTTTGTAACCTAGACTTTTTGACTTTTGACTTTGTGCAAACATCTCGGCACACTCAATAAACAATATTCAATCTGCTAGAAAGGATATGCTTTGAGCTCAAAATACAGATCAATTCCCTCAACTCACCGCGATGAAACAAGCCACGATAAACGCCACAATGTCTAGATAGTCTCCAAAATAAGTGAACTGAAAATTTAGGCTTAAAAATGAATGATAAATCGCTTTCTCACATTCATCTCCCCAATCGTGTGCACAGTGGTGTTCTTTATCCAATCATTCGTCAGCGCATTCAGATAACCAGACCAAGATCGAGCCACGGCTAGAGAGTAAGCTTATAATAGAAATTAGACGATAAATATCGAAATATGGAAATAACTCGTATCTTGACTGCTTTCTTTACCTGCAGCTGACAGCATATGTTCCAAAACGACATTCCATCCAATTACAAAAGCCCAGAACTCTCCAACTCCCACATACGCGTACGTGTAAGCACTGCCGGCTTTAGGAAATCTGAAAAGTTTGTCTTTTTAAACTTTAGGGCTTTAGGAAATCGTTTTTCATAAATTTTTTAGTATCTAACCTGGCCCCAAACTCAGCATAACACAAAGCGGAGAGCAATGAAGCAAAACCTGCGAGTGCAAATGCAAGAACGATTGATGGACCAGCGATGTCTTTCAATGCGTGACCTGAAAGGTAATAGTAGTTCAAAATAGTTTCCAAACTGTTCTATCCAAAATAGTTTGCATTTTATACAGTATCTTATGATCAAACCTTTCAATTTACTTTTTGATTTGTTGGTGTTGTAAATAAAGGTAAATAAAGATTAATAGAACAAGGTACTAAAGCATGGCAATAATTTTAAATTTTTTTTAATAATTAAATTTTTTTTTTTTTTATTAAATTATTTTATTTTTTTAATTTAATATTTTTCCTCTTTTTTCACCCCTTTTTTTTCCCAAATATTTTTTTTATTTTTTTTTTCCAAAAAAAAATTAAAAAAAAAAAATTTTTTTTTAAATTTTTTTTATTTTTTTTTTAATTTTTTTTTTTTTTTTTTTTTTTTTTTTTTTTTTTTAAAGACAAGGTGGCTACAGTAAATAATAGAAATCATCTACAGTTTTTAGGGCCGAAGCTTAAAATCTTAATGCTAAGAATTTATTGAGCAATTAAAAGTAAGCATCATTATCTAATCATTCAACTTTACTCAATCACTGGACACCCAAAACTTGATAAAAATCCTCTAGATCATTTCAAAATTTGTTGTTTTATGATTAATGATTTCAAAACTATTCCCCAAATCTTTGAACACCTAACTTTATCACTTTTTTTTATAAGATTTCATTTTTTTTCTTTTTTCCTTTTTTTTCTTTACTTTTCCCCCAATCACTCGGAATGATTTCCATCAAAGTCAAGGCCATTTCTGCTCTTTTCTTCTGCTCTTTCATTCATCTTTTTATTATGTTTGTTTTGTCTTTTTCAAACAACATGTTATTCCAATAACTGCATTTTCTATCGATATTTGTCGATAATCCGTGTAAATTGAGGTAAAAACGAAAACAAACCGGTCAACACGTAGATTCCGGCGCCGATCATGTGCCCAACACCCAGCAAAGTGATGTCAAATGTGTTCAAACATCTGAAATGGTTAGATAAAGAATTGATTGATGAGAAGATTGAGAGCATTGGTGTTAACCAGGTTTAGATGATTTGTCTAAACTATTAGAGGACAAAGAACAACCATCGATACCAGTTCATAAGATATTTAGAGATTACAGTAACTACAGGATAGGAACAAGGACAGAATGATTCCAATAGACTCAATAAAATGACAGAATGATCCGGATAGACTCAATAAAATCATTATGTTCTTTTAGATCTAATAAAATGAATATCTCCAATCGATTCGCCGATCCCGAAAACCCCCGAGTATAAATTTCAATATCATATATCATTTTCAATATCATTTTTGGGCCATCTACCCCAACATCCTTTTGCAAATGACTGCCCAGATGTTCTTTGTGCTAGCAGGCAATCGCTCGCCGTCTGGCGCACGGCTTTTACATAAGCCATTCTCCTCCTTCCTCGTCGAGCTCTTCCGGACCTATCCGAATTTTCAAATTCGACATTGACTTCTCCGCAAATCAAGGCTAATCTCAATCTGAATGTGTCGTTGCGGAGAATTAGGAGGGTGATCGGCAAGAGCAAATTCATCCTTCAGACACGTCTGAGACGTTTCCCACTCATGACAGTGTCGAGTGGTCAAAATCGAGTGCTTTTCGCATGTAGAAAACAACGAAACGATTGGAGCTCACGAACAATTTGATTTGATTTAATTAGATCAATTTTTGTCCGAATTTTAGCTGTTTTTTATAAAAAAAGCCTTCTAGAACCCATTAATTACAATATTTAAATCCTTATCGAAACCATTTCCCTTCTCACCTCTTCATTTCCGTTTCAAGACTTCCCGGCGGGAGATGTTTTGTTCGAAACATTCGCTCACGAAACGAGTACAATTTCATTGTTTACGAGATTTTCTGATAGAAAAACACGAAAAGTCTTCGAATTTTCCTGAAAATTTCTTTGAAATAGTTAGAGTTTAAATTGGATTTAAATTGGTTGGAAAAAAGTTGGAAAAAAATGGTTCCAAAAAAGTTTTGAGTTGGAACAAAATGAATACAAAACTGTAAAATCTGAGCACATAATTTGTAAAACGAAAGATATAAATGCGTATGATCATGATCACAAAAAAATCTCCCAGAGAAATCTCAAATTTTACCACAATTTATCGCCTGTCACTTTTCCCAGAAAATTTGAAATGAAATGATGGCCAGCCAAAATTTTTCAAACATTTCTCGGAATTTGGGGGAATGATTCAAACTGTTTTTGACTGTTTTTATTATTTTTGACATCAAATGAACTCGTTTTCGAGATAATCATGAAAAGTGCTTTAAAAGAAAAGAAAGAAAGAAAAGAAAAAGATGGGAATGATCTCGCCAAAGTGATCGTTCTTTGAAAATGGATCATTCGTCAAATAGATCGCTTTGGAAAGTACATTTTCTTCGTTTCTTTTAAATTTAAAGACTATTTTAAATGCTTAAAATGAAGATTGAGTGCGCTAGGAAAGGCGCGTTTCAGTTTGCACTGATTGGAGGCGCAAAGTTCACTGATTGGAGGCTACTTTCTAAACTAAATTCGCTTGACAAGACCAAGAAAGACAGGTAAACCGGTATCGTACTCACACAATCAAGAACATTATCTTTCAATACAACTAGTACAGGAGTTAGCCATGCAACTAGTACAGTAGTTAGCCGTACAACTAGTACAGTAGTTAGCTATGCAACTAGTACAGTAGTTAGCCGTACAACTAGTACAGTAGTCACCTAAAACTCAGCTATCTTGAAATCGTTTAAGCAATGCTAGCATAGCAATGAATAATTGACAGTAGAACTATGATTAAATCAAAGATTCAAAGTTGAGGGCATGGCTGATTGTGTGTTTGAGTGACCTCCAACAATTGATGAACAACAACAATCTCTAACAACTTTAGATTTCACTTAAACTCTATAAAAACGAAAGGATTACTCACAAAAACTCACGAAATTGAAAAATTCAAACAGTTGAGCAATTTTTTGCGTTCGGGGTGGAATGGCAATCATGTAAGCCGATGTTCATACGTTCTCTCTCTCTCTCGAACACGCGAAGGATTTGACTTTGTCCATGCAATGGGAAACCCCCAGAATCACAACCAGATAGATTTCGAACATAAAACATGAGACTGATCGGAAAAAAAAGGGAATGAGTGATGAGAAATGAGAGAGTTTGATCGAGAATAGGCGGATTGGAGCGGCGGAAATTGGGATTGCGGGAAACCCCATGAAAGCGACCCCGTTTTTCTCTCTTTTTTCTCTCTTTTTTTCTCGTGTCCCCGACCCAATCACTTGCTTTGATCAGTCGGTGGAATGGCAGAGGTTGAGGGAATCAAAAAAATTTGATGGTTATCAAAAAGTCGTAAAACTTGTGAGACTTTTGAAGAAAGTTTAAATCTCTAAAGGATAAGTAGCCTAAAAAAAGTTCTAATCCAATTATCTACAGTTTATATAGTACTATAGAGTCTAGATTGCACTATAGTACAGCTATAGAGTCTAGAGTACATTACAGTACAGCTGCAGAGTCTATAGTACACTACAGTACAGCTACAGAGTCTAGAGTACACTACAGTACAGCTACAGAATCTAGAGTACACTACAGTACAGCTACAGAATCTAGATTACACTACAGTACAGCTACAGAATCTAGAGTACACTACAGTACAGCTACAGAATCTAGATTACACTACAGTCATAACAAAAGTATGCTAAAGTTTTCTGGAATAGTGATACAAGAAAGATTTGTTGTTGCAAAGGAGTTACAGACAAAAGGAAAACATTAAGCATTAAACCCAAACATTAAACATCAAGCATTCACATATCAAAAACATTAAACAACAATATAAATAGCTGTACAATTGCTGTGGACAATTGCTTAACAAAATCGTTAGAGAATAAAGAATGAATATATGAAAAAATCCAGCAAACATGGTAAATGATGAAACGACTCTTTTTCGCCATTCTATCACCACTCTTTTTTTGTGTGCCGTTTACCCCTTTTACTCGACCTGAATCATGCTAATAGCCTGCCTGTTTGATACTTTGTGGTATGTATGTAATAGACAGACAATACAGACGCCCAATGGCTTGCACAAAGTTACCCCTTTCCCCCGCAAATACATGAGGACATTGGGAAACATTTTTGACTCTTTAGAACACTTTAGAACTCTTTAGGACACTTTAAAACACTTTAGAATACTTTAGAATACTTTAGAACACTTTAGAGCACTTTAGAACACTTTAGAATACTTTAGAACACTTTAGAACTTGCATTAAAGTAAAATTAAAGTAAATCTGAAGCTTAAATTAGTAAATCTCAGCTTAAATTAATAAATCTGAATCTAACAACTCATTCGACTCAAACCCATCATTTCATAGCTTTTTGAAGTCTCTGATCTTAAGCTTTGAACCTGTTTTCAATTTTGGACTAAAAAAATATCAGAAATCTTGCAATAAATCAATTAAAAGCAGATTAAACTTCAATATCACAATAAAACGAAATGTTTCTGGTTTTAGATCAATGTAAAATCTATCAAGAAGATTCTTTTATGTGTCAAATTGATGTCAAAGCCGTGTACTCTGCTCAGACCGACGAAATCCCTTCCCAAAATCGTGTGAGAACGTTTTTTTGTTACTAGGGATATCCCGAATCTTTCTTTTCATTGTTATCAATGAGAACAGCCTTGTTTTTCTATATCTTTTTCAAGTTTCTTTTGACGCAAACCATTCAAAAAGATCAAAAGAATTTCAAAATGGAGTATCAGTCGATTTAATCAAAGAAAAATCAAAAAAATTACATAAAATTCGCCAAATTCAACTCAATATTTAGAAATTTAACATGTTTTGTTTTTTTTAGATAGGTTATAGATTTATGTTAATGGCTTTTCGCGGGAGAACTTTTGAGAGAAAAGAAAAAACGAAGAGATCAATAGAATCATAAAGAGAGAAATATCAAAATCGTTCATAAATATTGCCTTTTGTTTGAAAACATGAACGATTGAGTGCGCTAGAAAAGGCGCGTTTCAGTTTGCACTGATTGGAGGCGCAAAGTTCACTGATTGGAGGCTACTTTCTAAACTAAATTCGCTTGACAAGACCAAGAAAGACAGGTAAACCGGTATCGTACTCACACAATCAAGAACATTATCTTTCAATACAACTAGTACAGTAGTTAGCCGTACAACTAGTACAGTAGTTAGCCGTACAACTAGTACAGTAGTTAGCTATGCAACTAGTACAGTAGTCACCTACACAACTAGTACAGTAGTTGGCCATACAACTAGTACAGTAGTCACCGAAAACTCAGCTATCTTGAAATCGTTTAAGCAATGCTAGCATAGCAATGAATAATTGACAGTAGAACTATGATTAAATCAAAAGGATTTCAAAATGGAGTATCAGTCGATTTAATCAAAAAAAATTACACTCTCCAAAGTCAACTCAATATTTAGAAATTTAACATGTTTTATTTTTTTAGATAGTTTACAGATTTATGTTAATGGCTTTTCGTGGGAGAACTTTTGAGAGAAACGAAAAAACGAAGAGATCAATGGAATCATAAAGAGAGAAATATCAAAATCGTTCATAAATATTGTCTTTTTTAAATCGAAAACATGAACGGTTTTCTTTGAAAAACCAATCAAAGCACAAGATATGAAAATATTGAAATTTTGAAAAGTAAACTGTAAAGGAGTACACAAATGGCGAATAACAAAAAGTACTCAAGAAATTTTAGAGCTATTTAAAAATTCTGGCAGTAAGAGTAAGAGTACGATAATCTGTTGCTATATAGTACTATAGTAATAAAATCTTAATAAAAGACTTAAAACAGTACAGTAACTAGCCAAGAGCCAAGGTAGTTTTCGCAACAGGGCCATTTACGCAACTCGCCATAACTTTCTTCTAAGTGGACCAATCTTTATGATTTTTGTTTCATTTTGTTGCACTTATTGAGATCTACAAAATGAAACCAAAATGATAAAGATTGGCCCATTTAGAAAAAAGTTATGGTGAGTTGCGCAAACGACCCTGTTGCGCAAATGACCCTATTGCGGAAATTAGCCTACCTTGGCTAGTTTCTTGGCTAGTTAAGTCTACCCAGCTCCGCTAAGGACCCTGTTGCACAAATGACCCTTTTGGGCAAATAGAATTGCGGAAATTAGCCTACCCTTTGTTAGAAACTAACAAAATGATAACCAAAATTGTAGCTAAACCTTCAATCTCAATCAATTTTGGGATATTAAAGTCTGAAACCGAATCTGAAAAGAATATAGTCAGAAAATGGAAAAACAATTGGAAATAAATGTTTCAAATCGAAATTCAAATGGAAAGAACAAATTCAAATGCAAGAAACATTCACAAACAGTTTCTATTTTCATTCAAATGGAATTAATGAAAAACTACTTCTATACTTTGTCGATCACCTTTTTTTCCTTACAAAAAACGATTCCAAAAAACTTTTCTCATTCACAAATCAGCAACGAACGATCAGCAAATTGAATGAAACAAAAAATTGTTCCAGAAATGTTTGGCATAGAATAATGAGTCAACTATTGTTCTCAAATTCAAACTATTGATGAATCTATGAATTCTATTGATATCCATTGACTATTCATAACTCAAAAGACTCATCTTTCCTCTTGGGTTCTGGATCTAATAACTCTTGGAGCACAAAAGCCAAGTCAAAACAAGACAAGACTTAGAAGAAAGTTATGGCGAGTTGCGCAAACGACCCAGTTGTGCAAAAAAAAATGGGGAAACTAGCCTACCCCTAAACGACTAAAAGCCGACCTCACGCTCCCAAAAGAAATCCAGACATAAGGCATTTGAAACTCGTTTTAATGACAGAAAAAGAATTGACCTAATGAAAGAAATCGTAGTTCAATTGATGCATTTGTTGGTTTTAAAAGGAACAAAAAGATTGATTCATCAACTTAATAGAAATCTAGTATCAGATCTAGTAGATCGAGTAGATTAAAGACTAAACATTTGCTGTAATAACTACAGTAACAATTTTCATATAATTTAAATAATTGTATGGAAATTGTTAGTGTAGTTATTCCAGCAAATGTTTAGTCTTTAATAGATCTAGTATTAGATCTATTAAAGACTAAACATTACCGATAATAGAGGATGAAAGTAGATCTGGTATTAGATCTACTATCATCCGATACTAGAGAATGATAGTAGATCTAGTATTAGATCTACTATCATTCTCTAGCATCGGTTCTTTGAAAATGAAAGTTTTCTATAAAAACTCCATAAAATGCCGTATTTTCTCTAATAGTAGTGCACCAAGGGCGTTGTCTAAATTCCTCGAAATCTCGAGAACCGCTTATCAGAACCTATCGATGTGGGGTCGGAAAATGTAGCTGACGATGAGATCTTGTGGAGGATTTGAGTGTTGAGCTTCTGCAAAAGCTTGGAAGCCGTAAAATAGTCACCAACTCGGCTCGCTGGGGTACACTACTATTAGGGAAAAGCCGGTACAGGAAAAACACACTTTTAAATGCACCGAATTTTAAATGCACCGAATGCGCACCGAATGAATTCTAGAGTGATGCATAAGGAGAAATCTTGGCCTAAGCCTTTCTTCCTCATTTCCTACTGATAAAATATCGTATTCTCTCTAATAGTAGTGCACCCTCGAAATCTCCAGAACCGCTTATCAGAACCTATCGATGTGGGGTCGGAAAATGTAGCTGACGATGAGATCTAGTGAGGGATTTGAGTGTTGAGCTTCTGCAAAAGCTTCGAAACGGTAAAATAGTCACCAACTCGGCTCGCTGGGGTGCACTACTATTAGAGAAAATACGGTATCCCCTCCCTCTATTTTTATTGCCCCTTTTCACAGGCTCTATTTCCTTTCCTGCGAAACTTTTCCTGTAAATATTTTTCGTAGAAGTAATAGACAAAACAATTTGATAGTTTTGAGATCAAAAAAGACAACTTAAAGATATTTGCCAAAAAAAAGAGATTTCAAAGTGAACATAATTAATCATTTTTTACTTGCTGATCGAAGATCTCGTTTGCCGAATGGTGAAGCGTGGATAGTGGATAAAAATTGGCAAAAAAATAGGGATTGATTGATTTATGAAAAAGATTCAACTCTAATCCCCGAATTCCGTTGTACAATAGGTTCTTTATTTGATCATTTCGGGAAATAAGTACAGAAATCTATTTGCAAATAGTCTTTTTCATCTATTTCTTCTATTTCATCTACTTCTTGATTGAAATTGAGAAATTCGCTCAATTCAACCATGACTACTTTGTTGTTGATTTTGAGTGTTTGCGGAAAGAATGAAAAAAAATCAAAACAGAGTGAAAACACGTGGAATGAGATTGGGAAAGAATGGGAGAGATCAAAAGTTCTGTACATCACCTCTGTACAGCTCTATTATCGACTTTTCACTGATTAAGGATTAAAATAAACATCGTCATTCGATTCGCCGACCCCGAAAACCCCTGTGTACAAATTCACAGCTTAATATATTCTTTTTTGGGTCATTCACAATCCCTGTAAGAAAAAAGAAAAGAAAGAAAAGAAAAATCCCTGTAAATGACTAGCAAGGTGTTCTTTGTGCGGGTAAGTAATCGCTTGCGACCTGGCAAATGCACCCAATGGATAGGCGTTCCGTTTTTAACAGCTGAATATCTTTTTTTGAGCGATCTACAACAAAGAAACCTCAAATAAATGACGGCAAGGTGTTCTTTCCACGGCCCAGCAATCGCTCGCCGTCTGGCGCACGGCTTTTACATAACCCCTTTCCCTCCCTCGTGGCCATCTACTCGGGCCATCTACTCGGGCCATCTACTCGGGCCATCTACTCGGGCCATCTACTCGGGCCATCTACTCGGGCCATCTACTCGGGCCATCTACTCGGGCCATCTACTCGGGCCATCTACTCGGGCCATCTACTCGGGCCATCTACTCGGGCCATCTACTCGGGCCATCTACTCGGGCCATCTACTCGGGCCATCTACTCGGGCCATCTACTCGGGCCATCTACTCGGGCCATCTACTCGGGCCATCTACTCGGGCCATCTACTCGGGCCATCTACTCGGGCCATCTACTCGGGCCATCTACTCGGGCCATCTACTCGGGCCATCTACTCGGGCCATCTACTCGGGCCATCTACTCGGGCCATCTACTCGGGCCATCTACTCGGGCCATCTACTCGGGCCATCTACTCGGGCCATCTACTCGGGCCATCTACTCGGGCCATCTACTCGGGCCATCTACTCGGGCCATCTACTCGGGCCATCTACTCGGGCCATCTACTCGGGCCATCTACTCGGGCCATCTACTCGGGCCATCTACTCGGGCCATCTACTCGGGCCATCTACTCGGGCCATCTACTCGGGCCATCTACTCGGGCCATCTACTCGGGCCATCTACTCGGGCCATCTACTCGGGCCGTATCCTCTCAAATTCGACGTTGACTTCTCCCCAAATCAAAGCTAATCTCAATCTGAATGTGTCGCCACAAACAATTAGAATAATTTTTGTAGAAAAATAATGCCAAATTGCTACCACCGTTTCCACCAAAACTGAAAACCCGTCACAATGAACCCATTTATAGATTCAAATCTGGAAAAACATTAGCATCACTTTATTTTGATGAGAAAAACTTTAAAGCACTTTTTTTATAGTACTTTATACTCAAAATTTACATAATACTTGCACCAGAAGCTGTGCGTTTCCAGAGGTGAGCAAAATGCACTTCTTTTAACTGAGTGTATTGTATTTTTGGATTACTGCAAACACAACCTTTCTAGCACAGTTCAGTAGTCATCATTGGCATTTTAGAAATCAAATATTTATTCACTTATATACTTGACAGTGTTTTCTGTTAGATCCTTCACTTTATTTCTCTTTTCTTCAACACTGTGATGAATCCCGTACAGGAAATAGATCAATAAACCTGAAAGTTTTAATGGTAAAGCTATTTTTTTGAGTTTTAGCTCAGTTTTAGCTCAGTTTCAAGAGTTTGAACTTACCAATTCCTATCCAAACCCCGAAACGAACCCACGCCAAATATGGAAGATTGAGAAGCATAAAAGTATTCAAAAAGAGCGAAAGTGCCGGCAGAAATGGGACCAATGGCACCTGGAAGTTGCTTTTTTTCTGCGCAAACTTTGAACCTTTAAAATCTGTGTACAAATGCAAACACACTAGCGCTCATTGATACAAAAGTTCACGTAGACTTGTGTACTTTGTGCCCAATTCTGTAAACATACTCTTTCTAGCGCAACTCGATTCTTTTGTGTTACTCGGTAAGCGTCAGCGTCATTTAGTCAGCGACCCACAACTGAGAATGCCAAGAAAAGTGCGCCAGAAAGGACGCGTTTGCGAAAGGATGCGTTTTCATTTTGCAAGTATACTACAAGGCACAGTTAGGTCAAAGATTCAACAATGATTTTGGGGACTTTTCCGTTTTCAATTTCTGATCATTGACACTCCAATGTACCCGATTTTTTTCAAATTTGCATAAATTACTTGGAATGGAAGAACGAGGGTTGACTGTTTATGCAAAGAGATCCATCCGAGAGAAAGAATTGAGATGAAAAGACACAAAATGGCGACAAATTTCCCGATGAACAGCGACCAGAAGTTGCTTATGAGGCAAAGATCTGAATTGATGTTGAATTAAAGCTGAATTGAAGATGAATTAAAGATGAATTAAAGCTGAATTAAAGCTGGTTTAAAGCTGAATTAAAGCTGAATTAAAGCTGAATTAAAGCTGAATTAAAGCTGAATTAAAGCTGAATTTAAATTTATCAAAACATGACTTATACCGAATCCGATGAACCCGAAAAGCAAGATGATCAGCGCCGCAGAAACTCGAGGATTTTGATCTTTTGAAAACTTTGAGAGGATTTTACTTCGAAGCCCTGAAATGGGAAAAAAGATAATTTCAACTGGTCAACTGATCAATTCAAATTTGAAACCTAAAACCAAAGTCAAGTTGAATTTAAGAACTTCAAAAAACCTACCGTTCACATCTAGTTGTTCCTCTTTTTCGTATCTTAACAAGATCACACATACAGCCACAATTGAATAAGCCATGAGAGTGCCTAGAATTTGATGCTGAAAACTGAAACTTTAGATGTAAATTCACATTGTTTTTTTTAAATGGGATTTCCTTTGACTAACCTAATGACAAGAAGTCGACTAAAGTCTCAACATTGAAGAGAGCTGCCATGATGCAAGTTAACAAGCCGAAGACGGCTATTGCATTCACTGGAACCTGGAATTGTGATCTTGATTGAGTCTAGGACCAAAGACCAAAGACCAAAGACATAGAGCCAGACTCAAGTTTGCAATCTAGCCTTGCACTAACAATGAGTCTAGATCTCAACTCTAGATCTTCACGACTTGGTCAAATGGATCCAGAGTTGGCTGAAGGTTAGAGCTCCCGTAGTTTCAGTTCAATGTAAAGTCTAGCTTTAAGTTTAAGCCTAGTAAATCAAGTACAAAACATGTTGCTGGAGTTATCTTTTAAACAGCAAACCTGCGTTTTCTCGTTCACTTTTGATAAGCACCTAAAAATCAACCCGTCTTGCGCCATTGCATAAACGCAACGAGGTAAAGCGAATAAACAGCCAAACTGGAAACTTTTAAGTACATATGATTTTTGTTGGAATTTCCATAAATCATTACACTTTCTACTACCAACCATGCTGCCAGTCATCCCACAAATCGCTCCAATTGTCACCGCAATCACCGCCACCTGTGAGCCTTTTGATTTGAAAGCGACGACAAAGGCAGCTTCTGGATCCATCTAGAATTGAATAGAATAGTCTGGAGAAGTTGTTGATAAAATCCTGCTTTGCTAACTTCAGTATATGGCATCATCAATGATAGAGAAGCTGACATCAAAACGTAGACACTTGTCACAATGCCCATGCAAAGGAATGTGGCTCTGGGGATTGATTTGATTGGATCTAGAATGTTGCTTAAGCTGAAGGATTTGAAATATATTTAGTTTAATGTATTCTTTCTAATAAATATTCAGTCTAATAAAAGATATTCAGTCTAATGCCTCATTAACCTTTAGCCTCTTCTCCAGCCGTTGCCAAACCATCAAAACCGATAAAGCTAAAGAAACAAGCTGATGCACCGGCGATGGTGCCACTGATTCCATACGGGAAAAAGCTCGACGAACCATCGGGAGTCTTGGCTGAAGATTGGAATTTGGTAATTCTTGATCTCTTGTCTTGAGTATGGATGTTACAAGGTGTCCAGTATTCTTTTGTATTCTACGACGATCTCTTTTTCGTAAATTAGCTCCCAAGCGCCAAGTTCAACCCCCCTAATGTGTTAAATGTTATTTAAAATATTGAAGTCCTTAATCTTAACTACATTTATCCTTTAAAAGTTAACGGATTGGAGATATAAAACTCATTTTACAAGCCTTTGAATAAGCTGAATTCGCCAAAAATGGCGGCAAGAGGGATCAACTGGTACTCATTCAAGGGCTTGTGAAATGAGTTGTATATCTCCAATCGGAAAACTTTAACGGATAAATATAGCTAAGGTTAAGGGCTTCAATATTTTATGTAACATTTAATGCATTAAAGTTGAACTTGGCGCTTGGGAGCTAATCGAAGTCGAAGTCGAAGATTGAACACCCTGTACAATCCAAAGATAAGTCAGCTTGGGATCAACTGGTATATTCACTCAAGGGCTTGTAAAATGAATTTTATATCTCTATTCGAAAAACTTTAAAGAGATAAATATAGCCAAGATTAAGGGCTTCTATATTTTATATAACATTTAACACATTAGGGTTGAACTTAGCGCTTGGGAGCTAATCGAAGTCGAAGATTGAACACCCTGTACAATCCAAAGATAAGTCGGCTTGGGATCAACTGGTATATTCACTCAAGGGCTTGTAAAATGAATTTTATATCTCTAATCGAAAAACTTTAAAGGGATAAATATAAGATCAAGATCTTTGTCTGAACAATAAAGTCCCTCTCACCCGTCCAATTCTTCAGATCAGCATAGGTGAAAGCGATCACTGTGACGACTGAAATCATCTAAATGTTTATCAATCGTTTGTCTTAATCTTTCACTCACAATAAAATTCAACACCGTGTTACAGTTGTTGAATCTCGTTGATCCTTGAGCCCCAGTTGCCATCAGAATCTAAATGCTTACAAGGGAATGGCCAGTTTGGAGTTGAGAATTGATTTTACATCTTATAGAATTGGAAGTGATTCTATATCTGCAAAAGGAAAGCAATTCGAATTGGGGATTCGACCTTTGGGGTTTGTTTGGGGATTCGAACTCAGGCAAAATCACTCCACAAGCTTTGTAGACTAGCACTAGACTATAGAGGCCGTCGGGAACCTTCTTTGGAATTGCCTCAAAGCCACCAGAGAAGCTGTTTGTGGCCACCACAAGGAAAATGTCAAATTTGCTTTATGACGCTGCCACAAGGGAGCCCTCCATCGGTTCCTGTGGTCTAGTGGGTAGTGTGCTGGTCTACAACACCTATGGAAGGGTTTGGCTTGGGTTCGAGTCCTTCCCTAAGCAGTGTTCTTTTGAAAATCATTGAATATTTATTTTATGCCGTTTCTTTCTGTTTGACTTTCTAAAAAATCAAGCTAATCCAGGTACAGTTGATCACAAAATTTCAACTTGATCTTCTTTGTGAAACACCCGAACTCACACAAATTATCGCCGCTATAAGAAAAGCCAACACATCCAAATATTCAGCTGCAAAAATATTCACCTAAAGTAGCGATTTTTAAGTACTGTGCAGGGTTTTTACATTCAACCTCCCAATGTGTTCAATTGTGAAATTTTTGATGACCCCATCGGTGAGCACGTTCATGTAACCTGACCAAGCACGAGCCACCACTGAAAAGCCAAATTTTGCGCTTATTTCAAAAAGCTAGACCAGAAAGGGTGCGTTTACCTGCCGCTGAAAGCATATTCTCGAGAACGACATTCCATCCAATAATAAAGGCAAACACTTCTCCGCATCCGATATAAGTGTAAGTGTAAGCACTGCCAGCTTTGGGGAATCTGTAAGTGCAAGGCATAAGGGCCTCTCTGAAGGCAATAGAACACGTGTCGGTGTAGCTTGTTGGTAGATCGTTTGCCTGGTTGCATGCGGATTCGAATCCCAGCGCGAATGTTTTGTATTCCTAGCTTCAACCCATAAAAGAATCGGCGTCTTCAACTCAAGAATATCATTGATAAGAATTTTAGCCTTAATCTGTAGTCTGTAGCTGTACCGACCTTGATCCAAACTCTGCGTAACATAAAGCTGAAAGGAAAGCGGCAAAGCCGGCGAAGAGAAACGAGAGAACGATTGAGGGACCGGCTGTGTTTTTAATGACAGTACCTAAATAGATGGGTAGGGATAAGGAATACAGAAGGCTCTCGATATAATGATTTCTTTAATTTGATTTGATTTGATACAATGATTTTGTGACTAAAACGGGATTTTGTTCATAGCATGAATGTACTTGATTATACCCTTTCCGACGATGCTAGAGCAAACGATTTCACGCCACGAAGCTATACAAGAAAGCCTTTAACTACTTCAACTTGTCCCAAATCGTTGATACCATAAAATACTCCGAGGAAATGAAAATGAGGAATTGGTGGAATCAGAGCAAACGATTTCACGCCACAAAGCTATGCCAAAAAAAGGCTATTCGAAAGTTTTTGCTGCTTCAACTTTTTTAACTCTGATTTTTTTAAACAACCAGTCGTTTCTAACTTCATATAGGTTAAAAGCCTTGTTTTTTACTTTTATATAACGATTTTCGATGTAATGATTCCATTTCGCGTCTGACAGAATTGTTATATCAACAGTCAACTATATAATATTTTAGCTATTAAATTGAAAAAGAAACAATGGTTTTACGACACTTTTTCAAAAAATGTCAAAATAATCAGCCCGATGCGGGGCTCGAACCCACGACAGCCAGATTAAGAGTCTGGTGCTCTACCGACTGAGCTAACCGGGCTACGATTGCCCGCCTTGTGGAAGTGTTGATAAGGAGAGTAGGGCATAGAATGAATGTGAAAACTGTCAAACTGTCAAAAATGAGAACAAAAGAAACGGAAACAAACAGACCGCTTTCATCGCCTATAAAATATATCTTGAATAAGAATCTAAACTATTTAGCTAGATTTTAGCCACCTGTTAGCACATAAATGCCAGCTCCAACCGTTTGCCCGACACCAATCATAGTGATATCGAAAGTTTTGAGACATCTAGAATGAAAAGATTTCAAAATAAAACCCTTGGTCCAGTTTAGCCTCATGATCTAGCTTTTTTAGGCCAAAATCTACTATATAGAAAAGAGCAGTGTCCGTCTGTCTGTACGGGCATTTTCCTGGCCGTATTTTGACCAATAAAGCTAAAGCTTCTTTAGAAAACCTTAGAATATATTGTAGTTATGCCATCTAAAAAAAATTGTATAAATCTAGAGTTGGGTGAAACAGTTGGGAGTCGAACCCAGGTCGTGTGGGCTGCAGGAAAGTGGCCTTTCGCTGTTTGCTTCAGAAAAAGCCGCTCTTAGCCGGGTTTTTCAGCTGGTTAGCAGATAAATATTCATGAATATGAACTGCTTATTTTGGTTCAATTAACTTGTTGCTTTCGTCAAACAACAGTAGTGTTTTCGCGGTGCTCAGGCTCAGGTTTCAACTTTCTGTAGCTTCTGTGTGCTCTGTAGCTTCTGTGTGATCTGTAGCTTCAACTACAGAGCTTCAACTACAGAGCTTCAACTACAGAGCTTCAACTACAGAGCTTCAACTACAGAGCTTCAACTACAGAGCTTCAACTACAGAGCTTCAACTACAGAGCTTCAACTACAGAGCTTCAACTACAGAGCACTACAAAAAGCTTTAACTACAGAGTAAAACTTCAGATTCTAAACTACAGTAATTGACATTGATAATCAAAAAACAAACTGAAACCCCAACCTCTTAAGCGGAGTCTCCAAAACGGCCGATTGAATCTCTTTCTTCCGAAGAAGTCTTTGTAAAAGCATTAGAAAAGAGTTTAATTTTAAGAAAAGATTGAATTTTAATGAATTTCAAACAAAGAATGATATGTTGATCATATTTTTTTTTCATTTTTATTGAGGGAAAATATGACAAAAAGAAAAAGGAGAGAGATTTTTCTGTGAAACGCCAAAATCGTGAAAACTGGATCGTGAAAAGAGAAAAGAGAGAAAAGAGAGTCGATTATGAAAAATGATAAGAGAAATGATCAATTTTCATTTGAACTTGTTTACAAATTCATCGTTTGCAAAAGCGTTTAAGCGTTACGTTTAAGCGTTACGTTTAAGCGTTACGTTTAAGCGTTACGTTTAAGCGTTACGTTTAAGCGTTACGTTTAAGCGTTACGTTTAAGCGTTTAAGCGTTTAAGCGTTCAAAAGCGTTACGTGTGTTTTTCGGAATTGAATGCACAAATGAAAAACCATAAGCTTTAAGTAGAAATTTATTCGACTTTGTACATTAGAAATCTACCCGATCAAAATTTCTCTTTAAATTCGAATGCATCATTGTCATTTCCCAGTGATCTTTCTATCGAATAGTCTTGTTCTTTTTCAAGGATTTTCGCCGCAGCATCCAGCTCGTCTTGAACGATTTTTAGATCTCTAAAAAGTTTTATTAATAGATTAACTCATAGACTAACTAATAGATTAACTTATAGACTAACTAATAGATTAACTTATAGATTAACTAATAGATTTACTAATAGATTTACTTATTAATTATTAAACCGATTAAACCACACAAACCTTACTATAGTTATAGATGAAAGTGCAAAGAAAATAGCACTAATTCCGCAGATCAAATTCGGGAGCAATAGTGCAATTGTCAGAGCATGCCAGCGATCTGTTTGAAATCGAAAATTATCAAATCGTTAAGCTTAAAGCTAATCTAGCTTTAAAATTGATTTAACTACCGTTAGGTCCCGTTTTCCCGTTTCGAAGCCAATCGGAGATCTGAAAGTTTGAATAGTTTATGATGGAAAATGCAAGAATCGTAATTTATCCAAAAAAAAGCAGTTGATCGATTCATTTACTCGATTAAATATCAATTTTCACAAAAATCATCACCAGTAATTTTTACAGAAAAATACCCAATCTAGTTAATATTTAAAGATTTGAACCCGTTAAAAGTTTGACTTCATCAAAAAAAACCCTCATTTCCGTCACAAATTCGATCTTCTTGCTAGGCCTACTCTTCAGAACTTGAACTCAAGAAAAACTCACCATTCCAACAATCCACGGACCTGGCGCATCGCCCAACAAATGAGCGAACATTATTTGCCAAGCTTGAGCCACGCTACGTCTTTGTGGCGCAACTACTCTCTAAATAGGAAAAGGGCAAATGTTTACAATCGTTTTTCTTTAAGCTTTAAAATCCATCCATCAATTGTTCACTCACCAAGGTCTGATTTGTATTTAAAGCCCATGGAAAAGCGATACCAACAATCATGATGAAGATCAAGACGAAAGTCACGGATAGATGGTCCTAAGATTTGAGCTGAGTAAAGTTAAATGCTTATTTGCATAAGAATTTAGTCAAGCGAATAATTAGGAAAAGTCACGAACTCAATGTGATCCTTTGTCTGGAGACCAATTGCACTTTATCGAATCGGCTATGAGAAATCCGAATCTGAAATCAAAAGCTACCCAATGACAAAAGAAAAAAAAGAAAAAGCTGCGCCATGGACCGAACTTGGATCCCGTGGGTGGTAGGTTAACGTGTTATCCACTAGGCCATCAACGTGCTTTGGCTTATGGCAAGAAAGGAGCCTTTTAAAGCATCCGTTTTGAGGTTTTTTCGATCTTCGATTGATTCGCTAAATTTACTCGAAACGAATGCTTTAAGAGGCTTCTTTCTAGCGATCGAAAAGTGCGTTGATGACTTACTGGGTAACACGCTCGGCTACCGCCAACAGGATCCAAATTCGGTGCCTGATGCAGCTTTTTTTTGTTTTCTGTTTCTTTTCTTTTGTCATTTGGCAGATTTTGGTTTCAGATTCGGATCTTCATAGCCGATTCTATAAAGTGTACAAGGTGGCCAAACAAAAGCTCACCTTGAGTTCGTTTCCCTAGTAATCTGTACTCTGTATTAGCCCACCTTTGACAAGAGCAATCCTCCGAGCATTGTTGGCGTGCCGATGATCGCTCCAAGTGCACAAATGAGTGGATCGGCTCGGGGTCTCCATTTGGCCAAAGAGGGTAAAGTGCTTTTCTCGAGTTTCTAGATAAAGGTTGATGTTAGTATTCATCAAGAATCTTCACCTGACTCAAAACTGTTCCAAGAATTACACCCACAAGACTGGCCACAACGGTGATTGCTCCAAACATCAGAGTGATTCTAAAGAGGTAAAAATTAGCTGAGAAAAAGCTGAAAAAAAGCTAAACTCAGCTTAGCAATAGAGAATTATCAAAGTGGATTTATTGGGTTGTCCAGTTATGAATGCGCATTTTCTCAAGATATCGAACAGATGTATACCGTATTCTCTCTAATAGTAGTGCGCACTACTATTTTTTCAACCCCCTCCTGGACCGCAATACTATTAGAGAGTGCACTACTATTAAAGAGTTTTATCATTTACCAAAGTAAGACTTGTTTCTTTGTTCCAATATAAGATTTGTTCCAAAAATTCTTGCAAAAAAAGTAACTTTCTAAAAATTTATTGGCTTCTGATAACAAAAAGTTAACTAAACAAAAAAATCTACAACAGAATCATCATCCTTATCTAGTTCAATATTTTTGCGTTGATCCTTTACTCCGTTGATCGATTGTTCGAGACGAGCATTGGCGAGAAGTGTTGCGCCTTCAGGAATCGGTCCTTCTTTTTTGAAGCAATGAATGAGACCAATTCCTCATCACCTTTCCACACTAACTTGGCTCGGAATTGAATCATTTTTCACTCGCATCTTCTTTGCCCGCATTTCTTGAATCCAAGTAACAAGATCCTTGTCAAAATCGAAATCCTTGAGCTTTCGTCCACCGCCTTTGATTCGTTTTTTTTCCTTTTCCGTTATCTCTGTTTTGTTTCTCGAGTTCTTCCTTTTGCTGACACCATTTTTGGATGTTTTGACGACTGACTCCAAATTTTCGCGCTGCAGCCGACTTATTCTTTATTTTTTCAGCAAAATCGATCGCTTTCAGCTTTGTTTGAACGTCGAAACATCGTCGCTTTTTCGCGGATGGTGCATCCGATTCACACGAAGACTCCTCGGCAACATCATTGGCCATGTTGTAGCTAGCGTCTTGCTCGGTCACTTGATTGTGGATCCTCTTGAAGAATTGCACATGTTTCTCGTGTTCACGACGAGCTCGAAAATTCTCGAATCCATCAAGCGAGTTCCCATCGAGATCCATGCCTAAAGAAAAAGATTATTTGGACAATAGTAAAGGTGACCAACAAAAATTATATAATATTAAAATCGAACATGATGGATTATTTTCTAGGATTGAGCTTTGATAACAATAAAGTTAAGCGCCACAAAAGGTAAGTCAATCTCAAACTTTATACAGGTATATAAGAGCAAAAAATGACTATAGCTTTGCGCGGAATTCGAAAGAAAATTTGAATTAATGTACCACTAAAACAACGTGTAGAAACAACAAAAAGATGTTTTGGCACTTTGCACAACAATTTTAGTTTTTTGCTAACTTTTTCATGTGAAGAATAGTTAAAAAATGAATAAAAAAGCCTCGCTTTTGTTTGCTTGAATAGCTTTAGAATGCAACATAAACATAAAGATATTCAGTCAAAAAGATTGAGATGAAAAAGGAGCACGATAAATGCAAATTTTTGAGGGTGCACTACTATTTTTTCAACCCCCTCTCGGACCGCAATACTATTAGAGAGTGCAATACTATTAGAGAGTGCAATACTAATAGAGAGAATACGGTATGAGTGTTATATTGGGTTGGTGGAGTCTAGATTACACTACAGTATAGCTACAGAGTCTAGATTACACTACAGTACAGCTACAGAGTCTAGAGTACACTACAGTACTACCGATTTTTTGGGAGAGTACCTTAAATTTGTCCTTAAATATGTGTTGTACCCTAAAATTTACCATAATAACAATTGAAACGAGAAAAATGAAAGAAAATCGCGAAAAGCGGCGGAAAGGCTATTGATCTGAGGGTGGCTGGTTCGACTTCCACCGGTGACAATATTTTTCAAAAATTTTTTGCTAAGATTCTGAAAATGCGTGTCTAGGGGTTATTTTTGGCGCTGATCACGAAACACATGTTTTTAGCCTAGGTTTCTGCACGGAAAACTAACGAAACGTGAAAACAGCCATTTTTTGGCTCTGCCGCCCTTTACTAAAATAGCTGTAAAAACTTTTAGAAAAGAGATATCTCAAAACGGTTTTTACCAATCGATCCGTCTTGAATTCAGCTTTAGGATGCGCTATAAAACGTCAAAATTGGACAAATTTAAGGTACTCTCCCAAAAAATCCGAAAGGAGTTTTCCATCAACCCAATATATCATTCGAAAGCTGAAGAGCTCCTCTACATTTTGGAATCAAAATGTTTTGTGAATTCATTCAACTTTTTGGGAAATTGACTGCACAAAGGAAGAGGTGGCTTTCGAAAAAACCCATTTCAGCTATTCCTCAAGTTTTATAGTGTAAAATAACCACCCAGAAAAGAAAAGAAAAGAAAAGATGCTCTGAAATTGTTATATTTTAAAAAAAGTTGTATTGATATATCTATTGGCCAAACATCAAACGGTTAACTCAATTTGAGCGGAGCCAAAACTTGATCCAAAGCCATCTTTCCATTTTTTGGCCACCTCTTCTTCTGTGCAGTCAATTTGCTCAAAAGCTGAACAAATTCAAAAACTTTTTAGATCAAAATGTAGAGGAGATCTTCAGCTTTCGAATAATACTCATAACTTCTCGATTTAACGGCTCTAAAACGTGTCCCAAATCCCTTGCGTAACTGCCCTGAATGGCCAACGATTGCGTTTGGCTGGGAAACTACGCAAAAACCAAGGGCTTCTTTTAGAATTTCAAAATTGTTTTATCGAGAGTGTTTTCGAATCTCTGAGTCTCTGAGTTCCCACTCTGAGTTTTCAGTTTTTAGAATATCTTTCTCAGAAACTAGTAAATGCTTCCTCGAGTTTCAAATACGATTCAATAGCAAAGCAAAGCATTATTCAATTTTCTGCGCATTCTTTAAAGTATAAGCCATTGCCAGTGGCTTATTAAGTGCCGAGAAAATCTACAAAGTGTAAAAGGGGAAGAGTTTTCCGCCTAAAGTCTCCCCGCCCAGGTTCCAGTCCATTTGAAATATTCTGGAATATTCGGGAATATTCTGAGCTTCCAAAACTTGATCCAAAGCCATCTTTCCATTTTTTGGCCACCTCCTCTTCTGTGCAGTCAATTTGCTCAAAAGCTGAAGAAATTCAAAAACTTTTTATATCAAAATGTAGAGGAGATCTTCAGCTTTCGAATAATACTCATAAACGCGCATTCATAACTCGACAACCCAATAATTTTTGTTTTATAAACTCACTCATCTTTCTGTGCTGCGGTCAAATCATCGGTTGAGTTGAAACCTTTGATTGCAGCTCGTGCATCTGCAATAAAACAAGAAATTGTCAATAGAAAGTTAGAATTTGATGATTTAAATGTAAATAACATAAACTAGTACTTATTATTACGAAAAACTCACTAATAAAACTCACTAATAAACGCAGTGGGTGCCCACCAAGAGAGCGTCGCCGTCACCAACAGATTCATCAAATTCCCGACCGAACAAAGTACATAAGTTGGACTAAATCTCCCCTTACAGACTTCAGAGCTTCAAATTTGATTACTTTTTCATAATATTCAAAACATCACTCCAATATGGGTCCTTATTTTGAACGGTTTTTACGATTGGTTTCACTGCTTTCTCGGGAATCTCGTCGATTTCTTCGAGATCAGCAGCTCCTCGACCTGGCTCATAAACAAAGATTGTCACCATGATTAGACCAATAATTCCTAAAATAAAGATACTCAACGTTTTTGCTTAATTTGTTCACCAATGAATGGCCCAACTCGTACACCCCAACGCCAATCATTCGCCGCATTTGCAACATTTGAGCCAACCACAAAGCCGAGACCACTGAAATTGAGTGCACTTTTAATGATAGCTGATGGCTCGATTTGAATTCAAAGGAAAACGGGATACATCGAGGATAATTTACGCCAATTAGATGCAGACGATTTGCTCAAGAAAGCGATTGTTATACCTTGGCACACTGTTGGATTAAAAACTCATCGACAACAAAGTTTTTCAAATGATTCAGCGTTCGAAGAGCCCAATTGATTATTCATTTGCTATTTTGAAAGTTTTGTTCATTTGTTTTGCTAGTTTTTTTAGTGAATTTCTCAACCGTATTTTCTCTAATAGTAGTGCACCCCCGCGAGCCGAGTTGGTGACTGTTTTACCGTTTCCAAGCTTTCACAGAAGTTCAACTCTCAAATCCCCCACAAGATCACATCGTCAGCTACATTTTCCGGCCCCACATCGATAGGTTCTGATAAGCGGTTCTCGAGATTTCGAGGAATTTAGGCAAAGCTCATAGTGCACTACTATTAGAGAAAATAAGGTAATCGTAAACTTTTGGCATTTGGCATTTATTAAAACGGTTTTTCAGTAAATTGAACTTAATGCTGAGGTTTTCTTCTGTCTTCTTATATCAATTATCATTATAAATCCTATTTAAAGTATAATTTTTGATGGGATATCATTTTTCTTAAAAAGGTGCTGAAAAAAAAAAGAAAATTAAGTCGACAGTGTCGTTTTAGGCTAAACTTTCAATGATCGATGAAAGCTGTGGCTAGAAACCGCAAATACTGGTAGAAATTGAATTTTCTAATGACAACAAGGTTCTCTTGAAGGCTTAGATTGCAAAAAAAATAAATCCCTTGCAGTCGGCTTAACTTTTATTTGTTTAAGAGATCATTCATCATGCTTTTGCAAGTCTAAAGGAGACTGGGAAAATTGTATTGAAGAATCTCAATTAGATTTGATATCTAGAAAACTCACGCTCCAACCCCGCTCGTCACGTAAAACATCGTCAACATTTGAGCACGACGAAAACTTCTGAACAAAGATTTGAACCTAATTTCAAGACGTTATACCCAAAATAATCAGCAATAATAGTTGGTGCAATGATTGAAAAGCTTCCTTCACCAATCCCGACGACTCCTCTCATTATCAAGAACAACCAGAACTTCTGAAAATGATTATAAGAAGCTTATTTTGATGGATTTATACCATTAAAAAAAAACCCCGTCTAAGCGCTGGTTTTTCTTTGGGGCTTAAGTTTTAACGCGTTTTTCTGGACCATGGCTAGCGTGTCTCCGTGGTCTCGTCGGGAACGCGCTTGTCTACAACCCATTCGATCCGGGTTCGACTCCCCGTAGTTCCACTTACTCTGACTTTTTGAATTTTTCTTTTAAAATGACATAGCCATCTTATACATCTTATATACCATCTTTCAAGACTTTTTAAAAAGCCTTTTTCGGCCTAAAAATAGCTGAGAAAAATCCCGTACAAGCGGACGGGAAGACAGAAATTGCTCTTTTATATATAGTATTTATTGTTGTTGTAAAGTAAAGTTGTAAAGTCGTAAAGTTAATAAAGTTGTCTTTCTTGAGTCATGATAAGTCTAATAGTAACATTATAAGATGGTAAAGTAAAGTGAAACAAAATAGTAAAACAGTAAAACTAAAACTTTTACTTCTAGTAAAACAAAATAAAATCGAAACTTCTTTAAAGCTTTATGCTTTAACTTGAGAATTCTCACCAAGAGGAGATCTAAACGAAGAGAATTCTCACCTACATTTCGTGGCATAAACGACGATCCCAACACAGCGAGATTCCATATAATCATTCCAACAATTATTATGTACTTTCTATTATATCTAAATTTGAAATTCTATAGATAGATTTCTATAGATTTCTATAGATTTCTCTAGATTCTCAATCAAAATTGAATTCTTTTCTTCTTCATTTGTACATACATTCTTTCTTCTTTCTTCTCCCTTCTTCCTTCTTTCCTCTTTCTTCTTTCTTCTCCCTTCTTCCTTCTTTCCTCTTTCTTCTTTCTTCTTTCTTTTCTTTAGCACTCACCTATCACCAAGATAACCAAAAAGTGGAGCAGAGAACATATAAAAACAAAAGAATGTCGTTTGAATGAGACCGGCATTTGTGTCAGAGATATCAAAATAATCTTGAATATCAGATAGAACACCTGAAAGTTTCGGAAATTAATGAATTGATTAAGGAGAAAGCTAAGGAGAAAAAAAAAGCTTTTAAAGGGCTTTGACTGGTGCTTGAAATTTTAAAAAAGCAATTGAATTTTGATTGATTCTGGATAAGTCAATGAGAAGCCTAAGCCCTAAACTAAATGGTTAGTTTGATCCTAGTTCATCCTAGTTCACAAAGTGTTCATTTTAAAGCTCTTTTCTAAAGTTCGGATTTATTAGACTCATCAAAATAGATATATCAAAATAATCTTGAATATCAGATAGAACACCTGAAAGTTTCGGAAATTAATGAATTGATTAAGGAGAAAGTTAAGAAGAATATTAAGGAGAAAGTTAAGGAGAAACTTAAGGAGAAAAGAAAGCTTTTAAAGGGCTTTACTGGTGCTTGAAAGTTTAAAAAAGCAATTGAAAAGTGCGAAAAAGTGGTGTTTACATTTGGTAAAGTAAATTGCGAGGCACGCTTGGTCTTCTTAAGGAAATGAATTCTACCATAACAACACAACAAAAAGAAGGGGTTCTCGTCTTGAGTACGTTTCTATTCTTTGAATTATTCTAAAGGTTTTTTCAATGCAAAGACACCGAGTGCAATGAATTTGATTTGTATGTAGAGAGAATTTTTTGATTTGTATGTAGAGAGACTTTTTCACTTTTTAAGATACTTACATTTACTGTTTAGGTGAGAATTGATTTAATCCAAATCAGAATAAAGAAAGTCATTGCATAGAAGATCCCTTCAAAATCATAGAAGGATTCTTTGTTTGAATGAATCAATCGAATTGATTCAATCAAGGGATTCTCGTCTTGAGTACGTTTCTATTCTTTGAATTATGCAATGCTTCAATGCAAAGACACCGAGTGCAATGAATTTGATTTGCCTAGAAAAGCATGAGCCTAAGCATGAGCCTAAGCATGAGCCTAAGCATGAACCTGAGCATGAACCTGAGCATGAACCGACCTGCAATCGTATTCCTATCCATAAAATTCAAGCCATTGATTATCGTTAAAACAAAAGTGCAGAAATATTTTCGTTGCATTTTCTGCAGAATTTCAAAGCCTCTTCTCGGTTTTAAAAATAAATTTTTATCTACAGATTTTTGAAAAAAAAGAAAGAATGCCGGTGAAATGGGCCTAAATCTGTTATCTCTTCAGCCTAACACGTTTTCAAAAGGAGCAAAAAACGGAAAAGAATCCGAGAAGAACAATCGTAAAAATTGAGAACAAAATGAAGTCACAAAAAAAAGGAGAGTGTCCATTTCTGAAATGGAAACATTGATCCGATGAGAGGAAATGGAGAAGATCAGATTTGAAGGAAATCTTAAATTTTAACGTTACAAGAGGTTTGTTTAGTTGTTGACCTTGTATTTATCTTGTGGCAGATCCATTGACCTGTTCTTCCAGTGACCAAGTGAATCCTATGATTAAATCTAGGTTTACCAAGATTCTGGATAAGTCAATGAGAAGCCTAAGCCCTAAACTAAATGTTTAGTTTGATCCTAGTTGACAAAGTGTTTATTTTAAAGCTCTTTTCTAAAGTTCGGATTTATTAGACTTATCAATTGGTAAACTTATCATTAACTTATTTCATTAGTCTTCATTCATTAACTTATCATTAGTCAATTAGTATGATCTTAAAATTGTTTGTATTAGGTTATTCAGGAAGTTTTTCGGTCTAGAAAGAAACAAAAACACTTTCTGAACAGTCTAATACAGTCGAACTTCGATAAAACGACTTTCAAATTCTAAAAAGTACCTAAAATTTGTGCATAGCTGCCCCAGCAAACAGTGGTCGTCCAGGGCAGCCACGCAAAAAATTTGAGGCATTTTTGTTTTGTTTTGGGTTCGTTATATCGAAGCTTTCGATCCCCAAGCTATTTGTTATATCAAAGTTCGACTCTATTATATTACAAAATCAATTCTAAACAAACAAGACGTGTTTGAAAAAGTTTAAATTGGAAAACATAGACTACAAAGAAGAGATGAGAATTTAGAACCATCCCTCGACGGGAAGTGAATTGAAATCACTGATTTCAGATTGATTTTGTATAAGAAAAACATAAAAACTAAGACTTTCAATTGATTCCCCAACCCCGAAAACCCCCGGGTACAATTTTTCTGTTCAAAAATTTGAAGTTTTTCAATTTTAAAATGCAGTAAAGAAGATCGCCGGGCCATTCTCTGTGCGCGAGCACAATCGCGCAGGATCTGGCATACCAAGCCTGCACATATACTCCCTTTTCACTTGTTAATTCGGAAGCGTCCATTTTGGGTCATCCGGTAAGCAATCCGTTGTCTGCCCCATGTGGTCACCGCTTCCCAAAACTAACCTCGGTTGTAGAATTGGTTAACCCAGTTCCGGCTCATTTTGACCATGATGGCGGGTTCTCCGTCGGTCGGAATGGGATCCCAAGTGCCCGTAAAAGGGTGCTGAAGGGGGCCGCTGTGAATTTTTGGATTCAACCCAAGGATTTCGGTCCGCAGGGGCAGCAGAAACTCACGGAAATCAATCAACTCATGAAGATACAGATTATTAGCTTGAATACAAAATCTTGGCAATGGTTTGAACTTGCGAAATATTTATTTAAGCAAACAGAACACCGCGGACTGTTGATGTTCAAAAGGTAGGCTTAGCAGTCCCCTTTCAGAAAATTTTTCGTTTACGCTGAAATGTTCGTTTGACTTTTTTTATCGATTTGTTTTATTCAAAGGCTACCCCAGATCTTCCACCAGATTGAGACACGTTATTTTATACGAGTTGAAAAAAGGATCTTCTTTGTTCGTGGCCCAGAAAAATCTCGAAAACGTTTATGGTCAAGAAGCTCCTTCTCAAAACACAATTCAGTTCGCCAAGTTCAGAAATTGGGAATTCCTTTCAAGACGAAGAACGTGCGGGGAGGCCCACTCAATCGAAAAATGAAGAAATTCTTCAAAAAATTCATCGAAAACAATCGCCGGGTTTCTTCATGTGAGATGAAGATGCCAATTTAATTGAAAATTTGTTGATTGAGATGGAAAGCTTTTCGTCTCGAGCTATTTGTTATGTCAAAGTTGATAATCAATTATTATTAGATTTATTTATTAAACTTATCAATTAGTAAACTTATAATTAGTATGATCTTAAAATTGCTTGTATTAGGTTATTCGGGAAGTTTTTCGGTCTAGAAAGAAAGGAAAACACTTTCTGAACAGTCTACCTTCGATAAAACGACTTTGAAATTCTAAAAAGTGCCTAAAATTTCTGCATTAGCTGCCCAAACAAACAGTGGTCGTCCAGGGCAGCTATGCAGAAAATTTGAGGCATTTTTGTTTTGTTTTGGGTTCGTTATATCGAAGCTTTTCGTCTAGAGCTATTTGTTATGTCAAAGTTCGACTCTATTATATTAAAAAATCAATTCTAAACATTTCTAAACAAAATTATTAAGAAAGCAAATGAATGGTGAAATATTCGAGTCAAGTTGAGAAAATCTTTGACTCTAAAGACAGTTCCAGTAGAAGTCTAGGACAACAAACGTCTAGACTAAAATTGAAATGTTTTGACAAGGACATGTTTCTGTTATGAAAGTGATTCAAATGATGTATTTGAGCTTTGTTTATGTGATTGTTACTATTTTTGGTGATCTGATGACACAGCTAACAAAATAAACGACTCTGTGTGCACTTTTAGAGGATTTATTAAAACTTTGTTATTGCTTGTAAGTTCGTGAAAAACAACAGCAAATTTGAATGGGGTTTTCAGTCGGAATTTCTTGTATAAATGAAGAGATTTCTCTGGATAGATATCAGCTTTGAGTTCGAATATCTTTTTTGATTTACTCCAATTCTGTTTCATGTATGAATTTCCAGAAAATGATCTACCGTACCGCCATTCTGTGTCTCGTTTCCCTTGTCGTCTGCTTGATCGCCAGCACCGAAGTTGTGAATTCGCCAAAAGGCGCTAAATGTAATTGCCCGTTGTCGAGTGGACCGATCAGTGACAAGGCTTGCGCACTTGATTGGAGTAAGTTCTCAGAGAAGGATAGAATCATCTAAACAATCTAAACTTTAGCTGTTTCGATCATTATCTAAACATTCAAAGATATTATCCTAAGCCTAAGCACAAGCCTAACGAGAGTGATCTGAAATTTTGTAAGCATACTCCCCTTGGGTTCCAAAGCACAAGGGCAATCGGGTGTCCCTTAGCTCCGGGAACTGGCTGAGATCCAGAAAATGGGGGTTCAGCCCAAACCCAAATAGACTTAGTGCGAGGCGCTAGCCTTCGCACTAAGTCCAAGCCTAAGCCTAAGCCTGAGCCTAAGCCTAAGCCTATGCCTAAGCCCATCTAAACAATCTCCGGCTACAGTATGATTGGCAACAGTACAAGTACGGCAGTATCATATTTACCTTCGACTACAGTATCATAGCTTCAGCTTCAGTACTACCGTATCCCTTTTATCTTTGGCTAAAGCATGTCTAATTACAGTACCATTTTTATTTTTGATTCCAGTAACAGTATCCTTTTTATCTTTTCATCCATAGTATGGCTACTTTACTACCGTATCATTCTTTTCTCGATTACAGTATCCCGTTCCATTACAGTATCCCACAGTATCATCCCCATTTCATCCTCGAAATTATCTAAACAATAATTATCTAAAGAATCTCCGGCTTCCCAACCGTCCCCATATCTTTAATGCCTGGAATTTCCAGTTTCCCACGCTCGAGTCCTGTCAAAAGCGATGAAAACGATGAATGGAACCAAAGTCACCACTTATCAACTTCATCACCTTAAAGTTTACCGGGTAAATTTCAAAAGTCTAATCGATTTCGAAACCTTATCACCATTTAATTCCCATCGACTTTCAGGGCAACAAAACCCTCCCCAAACTCCTGATGATTCCCGTTGGCCCATGCGCGTTGAACCTTCAAAAGAACAAGGACTATTTGTTGAGTGGTCGGTTTTATTCTAGAATTGTTAGAATTAAAGAATTCTAACTTTTCTGAATCAAAGTTAACCATTTTATTCAATTGCAGGTCTCATTGCCGGCAAAACGCAGTTGATCTCGAGCGAGTGCTTTTCACTGCAAAACACTACAACTCCTGTGTGGAATAAGGTAAGCTAAAAGGCCAATATAAGCATGAATTAGATATTAAGCAGTTTTCATTAGATATAAATCATAGATATCATAGCTTTACGGCAATTTCCAGGTTCCAAAAGCGATCAAGACCGCCATCACTAAGCTCACCTGCAAGGGACTCCCCACAATTAAGCCAACGTGAGTTTTACGGCTTTTCACATGTAAAAGTGATCTTTGTGAACTGTTTTATAGCGATTTGATTAGATATTTGATAATATTAGATACTATTAGATACTATTAGATATGTAGAGTAAAACAAAAGAAATGTAAAAGCTTAAAAGTATTCATCTCAGTCTCCCCACCGTCACACCGAAGATCCCAATTCGACCATGAAACCCTCCATTCAACATTTAAATGTCTGTACATTTGTGACAAATAAATTTTGGCATATATGAATTAAAAGAAACGTGAATAGAAATGTTTTTGCAAAAAAACATTGTTGAGAACAGAAAAAAGCAAAAGCAAACAGCAAAATAGATATTTTTCGCACGTTTTTCAATGAAAACCAAGTTTTACAAACAGAAAAACAAAACTTTAGCAAATAAAAAAAACTGTTTATTAGCTGTTATACAACTTTTCGATTAGTTTAGGTTAATGAGGTGTAAAGGAATATTCTTTGCGGAAATCGCCTTCATTCTATTTCGCACCCCAAATCATTTATTGTTTTGTAGCTTGTTAACTGAATATCTTGTGTTAAAGCCTATCTGGAAAGCTATATAAGGCAACTGTTGTTCATTTGATGCGATTAACTTTTCTCTGTTTTTCCTTTTATCTTGCGAAAGTTGGGTCCTAATTACTAGGTTGGTGCAAATGAAATTTCGTTTTTTTACAAACATTAAAGTCATCATCAAAATTTTTTTAGATAACAATTTATTTAAAACAATAAGCACCATTATTATCTATGACATCCCTCCAACGTTGCTACAGATTGCGGATCCCCTTCTCAAAGAACGCTTGATTCTGTGATGCAAAGTAGTTGGTCACCCAATTTTCGACTTCTTTTGCATTCTTAAACTGGCAATTCTCAAGGGAATGTTGCATCGATCTGAAAAGGTGAAAATCGGAGGGTGCTAAGTCTGGACTATACGGCGCATGTGGTAAGACCTTCCATCCTAGCTTCTCTAGTTCCTTACAAGAGGTTTTTGCCGTGTGAGCTGGAGCATTATCACGGAGAAAGTTGATAGTTGAGGGATTTAGGCCTTTTTCACGCAAAATTTCGTCAACCTTCTTGAGTTGTTGAATAAAATAAGATGAATCGACTGTTTTTCCGGGCTCTAATAATTCAAAATGAACAAGTCCATTGATATTCCACCAGCAAGACAACATCACTTTGCGCCCATGATAATCCGGCTTTGGAGTTGGAATTGGCGCTTGACCTTTGCTCAGCCATTGTCTTTTTCGAGAAGTATTATCAAAGTGAATCCACTTCTCATCCATCGTCAAGATATTCTCAAAAAAAATGGCTTCTTTTCGACTTCTGGAGCAAGATATGGCTGATCGAAACGCGTGCTCCCAGATTCTCAACACTCAATTGACGTGGAACCCATTGTCCATTATGATTTGTCTTTCCAATTATTTCCAAATGGCGTACAATTGTTGAATGATCACATTGGAGATGTTTGGCAAGTTCTCGTGTTGTTTGCATTGGATCAGCTTCAATTAATTGTTCCAATTCATTGTTGTCGATGGCTGTGGCACGATGTCCATGCGATTCGTCTTCAAGGGATTCATTACCATCTCGGAATTGGGCAAACCAGAGCTGGCATGATCTTTCGGTGATAACCTGTTCTCCAGCAGCAGTTTTCCAGCAGTTTTCCGGCTCCAGCAATTTTCACACAAAATCGACAATTGAATTAAAAGCGACGATAAAAACAGAAAAAATGAACAACAGTTGCCTTATATAGCTTTCCAGATAGGCTTTAACACAAGATATTCAGCTAACAAGCTACAAAACAATAAATGATTTGAGGCGCGAAACTGCCGGAAAACTGCTGGAAATGAGAGCCAAAAAATTGCGAGTCAGTCGGCTATTGAATAAAGTGTCTTAGTGTCAAGTGAGATCAGATATCTCGAAACAAGAAATAACGTGGCTTGAGTGAGGAGTACCAAGCACGCAAAGAATATTCCTTTACATGATTTTACAGATAGGCTTTAACACAAGATATTCAGTTAACAAGCTACAAAACAATAAATGATTTGGGGTGCGAAATAGAATGAAGGCGATTTCCGCAAAGAATATTCCTTTACACCTCATTAACCTAAACTAATCGAAAAGTTGTATAACAGCTAATAAACAGTTTTTTTTATTTGCTAAAGTTTTGTTTTTCTGTTTGTAAAACTTGGTTTTCATTGAAAAACGTGCGAAAAATATCTATTTTGCTGTTTGCTTTTGCTTTTTTCTGTTCTCAACAATGTTTTTTTGCAAAAACATTTCTATTCACGTTTCTTTTAATTCATATATGCCAAAATTTATTTGTCACAAATGTACAGACATTTAAATGTTGAATGGAGGGTTTCATGGTCGAATTGGGATCTTCGGTGTGACGGTGGGGAGACTGAGATGAATACTTTTAAGCTTTTACATTTCTTTTGTTTTACTCTACATATCTAATAGTATCTAATAGTATCTAATATTATCAAATATCTAATCAAATCGCTATAAAACAGTTCACAAAGATCACTTTTACATGTGAAAAGCCGTAAAACTCACGTTGGTTTAATTGTGGGGAGTCCCTTGCAGGTGAGCTTAGTGATGGCGGTCTTGATCGCTTTTGGAACCTGGAAATTGCCGTAAAGCTATAATATCTATGGCTTATATCTAATGAAAACTGCTTAATATCTAATTCGTGCTTATATTGACCTTTTAGCTTACCTTATTCCACACAGGAGTTGTAGTGTTTTGCAGTGAAAAGCACTCGCTCGAGATCAACTGCGTTTTGCCGGCAATGAGACCTGCAATTGAATAAAATGGTTAACTTTGATTCAGAAAAGTTAGAATTCTTTAATTCTAACAATTCTAGAATAAAACCGACCACTCAACAAATAGTCCTTGTTCTTTTGAAGGTTCAACGCGCATGGGCCAACGGGAATCATCAGGAGTTTGGGGAGAGTTTTGTTGCCCTGAAAGTCGATGGGAATTAAATGGTGATAAGGTTTCGAAATCGATTAGACTTTTGAAATTTACCCGGTAAACTTTAAGGTGATGAAGTTGATAAGTGGTGACTTTGGTTCCATTCATCGTTTTCATCGCTTTTGACAGGACTCGAGCGTGGGAAACTGGAAATTCCAGGCATTAAAGATATGGGGACGGTTGGGAAGCCGGAGATTCTTTAGATAATTATTGTTTAGATAATTTCGAGGATGAAATGGGGATGATACTGTGGGATACTGTAATGGAACGGGATACTGTAATCGAGAAAAAGAATGATACGGTAGTAAAGTAGCCATACTATGGCTGAAAAGATAAAAAGGATACTGTTACTGGAATCAAAAATAAAAATGGTACTGTAATTAGGGATACTGATAAAAGGGATACGGTAGTACTGAAGCTGAAGCTATGATACTGTAGTCGAAGGCAAATATGATACTGCCGTACTTGTACTGTTGCCAATCATACTGTAGCCGGAGATTGTTTAGATGGGCTTAGGCATAGGCTTAGGCTTAGGCTCAGGCTTAGGCTTAGGCTTGGACTTAGTGCGAAGGCTAGCGCCTCGCACTAAGTCTATTTGGGTTTGGGCTGAACCCCCATTTTCTGGATCTCAGCCAGTTCCCGGAGCTAAGGGAGACCCGATTGCTCTTGTGCTTTGGAATTCAAGGGGAGTATGCTTACAAAATTTCAGATCACTCTCGTTAAGCTTAGGCTTAGGATAATATCTATAAATGTTTAGATAATGATCGAAACAGCTAAAGTTTAGATTGTTTAGATGATTCTATCCTTCTCTGAGAACTTACTCCAATCAAGTGCGCAAGCCTTGTCACTGATCGGTCCACTCGACAACGGGCAATTACATTTAGCGCCTTTTGGCGAATTCACAACTTCGGTGCTGGCGATCAAGCAGACGACAAGGGAAACGAGACACAGAATGGCGGTACGGTAGATCATTTTCTGGAAATTCATACATGAAACAGAATTGGAGTAAATCAAAAAGATATTCGAACTCAAAGCTGATATCTATCCAGAGAAATCTCTTCATTTATACTAGAAATTCCGACTGAAAACCCCATTCAAATTTGCTGTTGTTTTTCACGAACTTACAAACAATAACAAAGTTTTAATAAATCCTCTAAAAGTGCACACAGAGTCGTTTATTTTGTTAGCTGTGTCATCAGATCACCAAAAATAGTAACAATCACATAAACAAAGCTCAAATACATCATTTGAATCACTTTCATAACAGAAACATGTCCTTGTCAAAACATTTCAATTTTAGTCTAGACGTTTGTTGTCCTAGACTTCTACTGGAACTGTCTTTAGAGGCAAAGATTTTCTCAACTTGACTCGAATATTTCATTTGCTTTTGCATTTGCTTTTGCCATTCATTTGCTTTCTTAATAATTTTGTTTAGAAATGTTTAGAATTGATTTTTTAATATAATAGAGTCGAACTTTGACATAACAAATAGCTCTAGACGAAAAGCTTCGATATAACGAACCCAAAACAAAACAAAAATGCCTCAAATTTTCTGCATAGCTGCCCTGGACGACCACTGTTTGTTGGGGCAGCTAATGCAGAAATTTTAGGCACTTTTTAGAATTTCAAAGTCGTTTTATCGAAGGTAGACTGTTCAGAAAGTGTTTTCCTTTCTTTCTAGACCGAAAAACTTCCCGAATAACCTAATACAAACAATTTTAAGATCATACTAATTATAAGTTTACTAATTGACAAGTTTAATAAATAAATCTAATAATAATTGATTATCAACTTTGACATAACAAATAGCTCGAGACGAAAAGCTTTCCATCTCAATCAACAAATTTTCAATTAAATTGGCATCTTCATCTCACATGAAGAAACCCGGCGATTGTTTTCGATGAATTTTTTGAAGAATTTCTTCATTTTTCGATTGAGTGGGCCTCCTCGCACGTTCTTCGTCTTGAAAGGAATTCCCAATTTCTGAACTTGGCGAACTGAATTGTGTTTTGAGAAGGAGCTTCTTGACCATAAACGTTTTCGAGATTTTTCTGGGCCACGAACAAAGAAGATCCTTTTTTCAACTCGTATAAAATAACGTGTCTCAATCTGGTGGAAGATCTGGGGTAGCCTTTGAATAAAACAAATCGATAAAAAAAGTCAAACGAACATTTCAGCGTAAACGAAAAATTTTCTTAAAGGGGACTGCTAAGCCTACCTTTTGAACATCAACAGTCCGCGGTGTTCTGTTTGCTTAAATAAATATTTCGCAAGTTCAAACCATTGCCAAGATTTTGTATTCAAGCTAGTAATCTGTATCTTCATGATTTGATTGATTTCCATGACTTTTGCTGCCCCTGCGGACCGAAATCCTTGGGATGAATCCAAAAATTCACAGCGGCCCCCTTCAGCACCCTTTTACGGGCACTTGGGATCCCATTCCGACCGACGGAGAACCCGTCATCATGGTCAAAATGAGCCGGAACTGGGTTAACCAGTTCTACAGCCGAGGTTAGTTTTGGGAAGCGGTGACCACATGGGGCAGACAACGCACAACGGCGCGAAATAAGGCAAAAAACATTTTTCTGGTAAAAATTCAAGTTTGACATACCATTCGACGTAAAAAATTCCGAATCTGAAACTTTTTTTAAAATCGGTTCGACAGTTTTTCTTAAAAATGAGATTTACCCAAAAATCCCATTATGGATTTTCTAAAAAGCACTCGAAAACACGTATTTCAGGATGGATCAAAAATCCCCGGGGAATTTTTAAAGATATTTTCTTTCTGCTCATTTTAAGACCAAAAACGTTCAAAACCGTTGATTTTGAGGTCAGATAAATCGTTTTTAAAATAGCAATGGATAGCCTACCGTAACCCGCGCACAATAGCTTAAGGGTCGAATTCTAAAATGCAAACAATTGAAAATTTGCGTTTGAATTTGTTTTAAACTTTTATATAGCTTTATTTTCAAGAGTTTTGCCCATTTTATTATTTTAGATTTATGAACTTTGTTTCTTTTTTTCATTAACGCTATTTCTCTGCATTTTCGTCGTTTCTCATACAAAGCAACAAAAGTTAAGTTTTTTAAGCTATACCGGAAACTTATAATAATACTTTATTCAAACGATAAAGTGAAAGAAATCATAGGGAAATGCACAGTGATACTTAATCATACAATACATACTGAAATCAATAAGCCAATTACTTACGGCAAAGAGCCACTAGATCTAAAGCATCGATACGTTTCTTGAATATGAAAAGCGACTGAATTTCTCGTATGTCGTTTGGGAGCAAGTTCCATAATCTAGCGGCTCTAACGGGAAATGAATTTGATAAAGAGGCATTGGAAGCAAAGGGAATTTGCAAAAGGAATGAGCCACTATGAACTCTGTTTCTTTTTTTCATTAACGCTATTTCTCTGCATTTTCGTCGTTTCTCATCCAAAGCAACGAAAGTTAAGTTTTTTAAGCTATACCGGAAACTTAAAAAGGGAAATATGAAAAAGAATAAATCTAAAATAGTTAAATGGACAAAACTCTTGAAAATAAAGCTATATAAAAGTTTAAAACAAATTCAAACGCAAATTTTCAATTGTTTGCATTTTAGAATTCGACCCTTAAGCTATTGTGCGCGGGTTACGGTAGGCTATCCATTGCTATTTTAAAAACGATTTATCTGACCTCAAAATCAACGGTTTTGAACGTTTTTGGTCTTAAAATGAGCAGAAAGAAAATATCTTTAAAAATTAGAACCCGGGGTTTTCGGGGTTGGAGAATCGATTGACAGTCTTAGTTTTTATGTTTTTCTTGTCCAAAATCAATCTAAAATCAATGATTTCAATAAACTTCTGACCGAGGGATGGTTCTAAATTCTCAAGCTATATCTCATCTCTTCTTTGTAGCCTATGTTTTCCAATTTAAACTTTTTCAAACACGTCTTGAAAACCTTTAAATAGCAGCTTTTTCAAGAGCTCTTTTCGTGAATTGAGTTCCTCAAATCTTACACATTTTACAGAGCTTTAAGTACATAACTACGTTTTGCAAGTTATGGAAAAGTTAGGTCTTCTGATTCTGATTCTTGCATCGAATGATTGATGACATTTGATCAGCCGATCATGAAAACAGATCTTCTATCAGGTGGCGTAGAAAAACTATCTGAAAAGTTGGCTTCAAAGGGTTTAAGTGTTCTTTCCCGGCATTCACATCAAGTTTTCTGTGACCTGATTCAAATCTTTTTCCTCATTTCAATCGATTTCCTCAATTCCCCTTTTGAGAGTATGGGAATCTCGCGATCAGGAATAGTCCAGAAAAGCCAATAAGCCAGGCCAGGGCCCAAAACCCTAAACGTGTGTCCGTGTGTCTTTTGCAAGTTTCCATTAATAAAAACCATGTGAACCATATGGATTTTTCGGGATGCGACAAACAAATCTATTGCAAAAAAAAGCAGCTTCCTTTCTGTACATTTTACATTAGCATACATCTATCTCGATAAGGGATTTGACAATCTAATTGAACAAGTAAAAGAAAGTTATGCTCTCATAGCTAACTTTTTCAGGGAAACGAGTGTAGATCGCCTATCCGATCAGATGCTCATACCTGCTCGAGAGCTCGCACACCATCCAGCTCTTCACTTTCACTCCCTTTAAGTATTAGGTTGTAAACTGTAATCTTTGTATCTTTGTTGATACAAGTTGATACAAGTTTGTAATCTTGATCCTTTCTCAAATTGCCAATATCTCAGCGTAGAATCAGTAAATTTGGATGAAATTTTAAACGGATAAAAACTTAATGTCAAAATTATAAAGTTATCGGCACTTAGCGACCAAGTTATGGCAAAAAGACAAAACCAAAAAAGACGCGAGGGTAATTTTTTTATTTCAAGGGCTAAATTCAAGGAAACAAGCACATGAGGAAACAATTCAAATCTTTTTCTACTACATTTAAAACTAGAATAAGGTAGATACTTTCTGAGAAACTTTCAAAACTCTTCGCAAAGTTTATTTTATTTTTCAAGAAACTCTATTTAATTTAATTTAATTTAATCTAATTTAATTTAATCTAATTTAATTTAATTTAATTTAATAGATTAATAATTTAATGGATTTATCGTTAGCAGC